CATGTAACCTTACATATAAGGTAAGGAAGGACTTCTTAAGGACATGTAAACGATTTGAGTGTACTAGTGTCTCAAGACCTTTCCTTTAAAGAACACAGCAAGTAGCCGTCACAACTGCTGTCGAGTAGCAGACACATACTCAATAGGTAATATTGAACCTCAAATAGTGCATACATACTCAAATAGGGCAATAGACACACAGAAAACGATCAATATCAGAGGCCCCAGACAGTTCAACACGCTTCCACTACACATAAGGGGCAGAACTGGCCGACCCCTCGCAGTGTTCAAGAGAGAACTTGACAAGCACCTCCAAAGGATACTTGATCAACCAGTCTGTGACTCATACGTCAGACTGCCAGCAGCCGCGTCTAACAGCCTGGTTGACCAGTCCAGCAACGCTGAGGCGCGGGGACGCTAAGCCCCGAAGTCATCTTAAGGTAAGGTACTCAATTGTGTCTCCACTTACTCATCTTTCAAGACTTTAGAACAGAGGTGAGCAAGCACACAAGCAAAAATACATCTAGGCCTGTCTGGTCTGAGCCACAGCACACACACTCCCTCGATTGATTGATGAAGATTAAGCCATCCAAGAGGTCGCATGGTCATGAATAGCCCGTAATCTCTCACTGGATTGATGAATATTAAGCCATCCAAGAGGAGGCATGGACATGAATAGCCCGTAAATCTCTCTCTCTCGTAACGAGCTTTTAAACCCGTCTATCCCCAATTTTCCGTTGAATGGACGGATTTGAATCTGGTAACAAGGGATAGCCTTCCAACCTTTGAACTATTCGAGGTGAGGTTTCTGTGACCTTACCTCACCTCCCTGAGAATATCTGGTAAGTCAGGTACCATCCTACCTAAGTCTCTACTCACGTCACCTCAACAACTGTTACAACAGTGCCCCCCCCCTCTCCCCCCCCCCAAAAAAAAAAAAACTTGGGAGATTGGCTGGGCCCCAGTTCTTAACTGTTCGGGTCTGTTCACCCAGGAGAAATTGGGGACCTGCTTGTAAACCGATTGGAGGGTAGGCGTTACAGTAAAAACTAGTAGAGGCGGGGCATTTTTCTTCGCATATATTAAAAAGAGAAACAGAGAAATTAACTTGCTCATTCACTCTTGAAAAACTGGACATTTTAACTGAGGGATGAGAGTTCGATTCTATTATGATAGCTGGTCGACGACCGGGCCGCGGGGACGCTAAGCTCCGGAAGCACCTCAAGGTAACCTCAAGGTATAACAATATTTTCAGATACATAACGTTCTTTTTATTTCATTGTGCATCAACACTTCCTTTTAACACACTGGCTTCCTGGAGCACGTGGCAGGCTTGCCAGCCTCGTATCATGACACCCACAAAGACAAAAGAACAGAAAAACCACAACACACAGAAAAGGGCATTAAAACACACAGATCTCTCGGCTCAAGAGCAAGACATCGACCACAGAATCAATACACATTCCTGCCTGCACACTTTCCAGACTTTGAAGCTATTGTAAAGTCATCGGCACCGGATATAGGCGATGTGGGCTACCATCAAAATTGCTGGGTGAGCATCTGCCATTACAGATAGCAAACATCCTTGCTTCAAAAACATTTAAAATGCTGTACGCAGAAAATCTTCAGATATTATAGCTCTTATCTTTAAAAACAATTATATTAGTGAAATATCGTCCAATTCTATTTGACTGGGACTGGGTTACTAGTGAAAATCGCAATATAGTCAGTACACCGTACCAAACACTACACTAAACCTAAAATGTGTTAAGAAAACTCACTATTGTACCAGTGTCACGACAAAGAAAACGTGACGTCAGCAAAATTAACAATTACACTCCCTCCGGGAAGTGAAATCCATCGGACACGTCTAAATACCTTTAACTTGAACAGAGCTCAAATTTCCTAGGTGATTTGAGTCAACTTTCTAAATAACGTACTGAGCTTCGAGGAGCAACCTAAATGTGAAGTTAAACAGCACCTTAAAAATCCACTAAATACATTAATATGAATAGCAGTTATAGATGAAAATCTAATTTTAAATCCTTCCAACCTTTGAACTATTCGAGGTGAGGTTTGTGTGACCTTACCTCACCTCCCTGTGAATGTCTCGTAAGTCAGGTACCATCCTAAGGCATTATTTATTTTATAATAAAATAAATATTTTATTATAAACCATAGATAAGATCCCAATATTCATTTATTAAAAGAAAAAAAATATTGGGGTGTTAACTTACTCAAAACTTCACAAACTCTTAGATTTTTTTTTTACCATGATTTCCATTGAGATTTCTACACACATTTATCTTAATATTGCTCAGGATTCCTGCCTCAAGAGTTTCAAGGCATATTTACAGCAATCTAATAGGTTGTGTCGAGAAAACGTTTTTAGGTAAGCTTTAGATACTAACTTTTTTCCCAAACCATTTTCAAAGTGGTATAAATTTCGCAAGTATGCCAGATAATGGTCTGCGTAATATGGCTTGCTAACATATGTTATTTTGACGTCACGTATGTATCCTATATAGGCGGAGTCAGATGACGGGTTATATTTCAAGGTCGCCCTACTTCACAGCTGCAAAAGGGTCATTTTACTATTTTATGCTGTGAGCCATTGGTATTTTTTCCGATATGACATTTTTAAAATGTGATTGAACTTGACCTATAAGTTCTTGTCCTACATGAATACGACATTACGTAAAAATGGAAGGGGGGCGTGCTTCCCTCTTCCATTAATGTAGTGTATCCTAAAGAGCATAAAAATGGAAGGGGGGCGTGCTTCCCTCTTCCATTAATGTAGTGTATCCTAAAGAGCAGTGACATTTTAAATAAACATTTGCCAAATTAATTTCTTTTCCAAGGAAAACAGTATTAAGCACATAAGAAAAGCAGGAACACACTCCCAGGTTTTCCTGTAAAATTAGTAGACAAATGGACGTTGTTACAGCTTGAATACGACTTAACTACAGGCATCTCTGACAGTTTGATTTATACTCTCCTAGTTGTGCTTGTGGGGGTTGAGCTTCGGCTCTTTGGTCCCGAAAGAGCTTTAGTAGATCCCTAGATAAAGTAATGTGTGTGGACAAAGACAGCGAGACACCAGAGTTATTTAGAATGAAATCTAAACTCACTAAAATCTAAACTAAATGACAAAATGCCTGAAATCCTTGCACTTTATCCATATACTGTATGTGACTAATGAATATGCTGCGTAGTGCAAAGCCTTATACCAAAAAAACAGTTACTAGAAGAACTCCCAGAACCCCATCAAGCAGGCATCCTGCAATACCCCATATCTATTATGTATTCGTAAAACACCTACCTTCAATGTATAATAAATAATTTATTGTAAATTCATAGTAATGAAAATATATGTAACTAGCCGAGATTAAAAATCTCAATCCGCCGAGGTCGACCTTTTAGTGTAATACTAAAAGGTCGTAATACCTGTAATACTTTTTTGCGCTACCGCTCACAGGGTGAATACGCGGTGCACCCCCTCTAGCCCCTCTCTGGCAGCAACAATTAAAAAAAAAATCCTCTGTAGTGGTAGCCATCTTGTGTACAGCCTACACCAGATGTGGCCAGTGTGTGGCGAAATAATCAAGCTTTGCTGGATTATTTCGTTATTGGACGAATCCGCTGCAGTCATGCCAATACGTTTCAGTTAGTCTCAATATTTAATGTTTAGAACTCTTGGGAATGGGTTACCGACATCTTCAACTACTTTATCATATCTGTATACTCTTAAATACCTGCATTTATCAACTTAATTCCGGATGTCGGAGACTGAAAGCCTGTATGGGTTATAGAGGTTCCCCCAGGGCACAGGTCAACTACTGACCTTCCCCAGGTCTATGGCCTATGCTTAACAAATGCTTAACTCCAGGGGACCTATTTGTTGCTAGACGAGTAGGCGCATCAGGTGAAATGAAAAGTCCCCTCCCTCGTTTCTGTCCTGCCCGGGAACTGAACTCGGGTCCCTCGGTTACGAGTATGTAGATCCTTGTTACAGAGCCCTTTATTGATTTATTTAATTAAGTATCTAGTATTAAGTTAAGAACGGGGAAGAAGTGTGGAGGCAGGTCACACACACACCTGTAAGAAGTGTGGAGGCAGGTCACACACACCTGTAAGAGTGGGAAAGTGTGGAGGCAGGTCACACACACCTGTAAGAGTGGGAAAGTGTGGAGGCAGGTGTCACACACCTGTAAGAGTGGGAAAGTGTGGAGGCAGGTCACACACACCTGTAAGAGTGGGGAAAGTGTGGAGGCAGGTCACGCACACCTGTAAGAGTGGGAAAGAAGGGTAGATGCAGATCACACGTGCAAGAACCGGGAAGAAGGCTGGAGGCAGGTCACACACCTGTAAGAGTGGGGAAAAATGTGGAGCCAGGTCACACACACCTGTAAGAGTGGGGAAGTGTGGAGGCAAGTCACATACCTATAAGAGTGGGGAAGGCTGGAGGCAGGTTACACATGAAAGAATGGGAAAGAAGGGTGGAAGCAGATCACACACGTGTAAGAACCGGGAAGACAACTGCGGGCAGGTTACACCACACACACCTGTAAGAGCGGGCAAGAGAGCTGGAGGCAGGTCACACGCCACACCTGTTAAGGAAGTTGCGTCTTGCCACAAACCCGTTCCTCGGGGGTCCCGATATAAACTCCTGAGGCACCAACAAACCCCCTTGCAGGACGCCTGTGTTGACCCCTAATCAGCCCGGACGACGTCGAGAGAAGCTGTGGGAGGTGTGTGGAAGAGATGGAAGAGGGGAGGAAGATAGGAGAGGATAATGAGGGTGGAGAAGAGAGGGAGGGAAGGAGAGGGAGATAGAGAGGGGGAGGAACGGGGCTGGCCGGGCCCAGTACAGGTAAAGCTTGTGACCCCCTCCCCACGCCACCACACTAAAACCTCTTCACATTTCTCTAAAGCTTGGAGGAACGCCTTGCCACCAGACTCACGACGCCCGCGTGCTGCGATAGGAACTCACAACTTACCGGAATGTCGAAGGAGAGGTCCGTTTCATCCAAGAGAATGACCTTGCAGGGGAGAATATGTTTAGGTTTGGGTACGGCCGAAGATCGCCCGTCGTCTACTGTCTTGTATTTCTGGGCATTGCGCCCGACTCTCTTGCTGAAAAACCGCAGCATGTCGGCTACTAACTACATATATCACCACTACACATTATATTTCTCAGACACACGTGAGCAAAGGCATCTAATGGACGGACGCATATTTCACAAAAGAACTGGGTACAAGTTCAGGGCACACACGACCACCACGACATCGTCTTGGACACTGAGCGAGGCGGCGCGCTCCTCCTCCCTCCTCCTCCCGCCGCACTCCCACCTGCAACTCCCATACATATTTTCCCTAGTATTTGGTACCATTCCAGCACCCTATACTAACTCATCTTGTTATAGGGTTTAAAAGAACTGTCTAACTATTTTTTTGGATGTTTATTACGTTACCGTTGATGCAATAAACTTGTAAATTTGTATGATTCGAGATTGACTTGTCGTTGTTCGTCTTGGGAGAAAAAAAGACTAGGTCATCAGGCTAGCCAACCTTTCGCTCAGGTATATTAATTAACACGTTTAGAAATGTGTTGAATTTAAAAATATTAATACTATGTCATTCATATATAAATATTATTTATATAATATCATAGTTACTTTATGTTTTATGAATTTATGAATATGTGCTAGATTGGTTAATTACCAACCACAAAACACTACAAGCACAAATATTGTGTACATAAAGTAGTCTTACAGTACCTTGTATGGCTAGATCTGACATTTTCTATATATAAAATACAATATAAAAATATAAAATAACTTTGATGGCCCTAACATAATCTTGAATTATAATTACGATGATAACATGCCTATGAAGATGGTTACGCTCGTAGCCTAGAGTCCCGCGCTATTTTGTTAGTAAACATTGTCCAGCTCAGGTCAGAAGTTTTTAAATTTAAAGCTTTCATTAATTGTTACCGTGAGTGTGTCACACCTCGGGCTCTCTTCCCTAACACCCCGAACACCACCACCACCACAAAATATGGAGCCCGGCATAATCAAGAAGCTAGACGAGACTGTTGTTAATCGGATCGCGGCAGGAGAAGTGGTCCAAAGGCCGGCCAACGCACTCAAGGAATTGATTGAAAATTGGTGTGTACTGTATTTTGAAATATGATGTATACTGTAATTATCAACAATTACCTTAAAATGTTGTGATATTTGAAGTGTGGTAACAGAACAGACGATTTATACAGATCGCGTCCTTGTCACAGTATTTCGAAGTGGCTTTGGGTACTTCAACATTTACTGTAGTGGTCTGAGATTGCCTCGACAACATTATTCATTAGGATTCAGAACAGCAGTTGGTTTATATGGGACATTTTCAAGCCAAACCTATAATATGCATTAAAATTGTGTGCAGCATATTGTGTAATTTTGGTTATCTTGAGATGATTTCAGGGCCTAGCATTCCTGCGGCCCGGTCCTTTACCAAGTCTCCTTTTTTGTTACACACCCCCCAGGAAGCAGTCCGTAGCAGCTAACTCCCAGGTACCTATTTACTGCTAGGTAACAAGGCATCAGGGTGAAAGAAACATTTTGCCCATTTGCCTCCACCTACACCCGGGATCAAACCCGAAAACTCAGGACTATGAATCCGAAGCGCTGTTCACCCAGCTGTCAGGCATCCGGGTGTTCAAAACTTAAACATAATTTATTTTTCAATTATACGGACTTGATAACCAGTGTCTATAGTATATTTTTTTTAGTTAAAGTTAGCAAAGGTTTGTGTTTCTTGGCTGTGTATACTTCCTAGAAAACAGTGTCATACTGGGGCTGTGACACTGAAGCTTCATCATCTTGCATTATACAGGTTTTATATTAAGTTACCCCATTTCTAATTAAATGTAACCTGATGTTGCAAAATTTACTATAAATAATGACAGTACTATATCTCATTAATGTTGGTTTCTGAAGTGGGAAACGCTCGAAGGATTCTAAAATATAGAATCAGGCCTCCCAAATGGGGCCTGATGGCGCTCGGGGTTCGTAGTCCTAAGGGTCTGGGTTCGATCCTCGGCAGAAGCGGAAACAAATGGGCAAAATTTCTTTCACCCTGATGCACCTATTCACCTATCGTACCTGGGAGTTAGACAGCTGTAGCAGCTGTCAAAGGCAGCTTCTTGGGGATGTGTGTGTGAAAATTAAGATTAAGGACTTGCCCGAATTGCTATGCATCCTAGTGGCTGAACAAGGATGTAAGAACTCTTTATATATTTATATACTCCTGTATATATTAAAAAAAAAGTAATAAAATGTTGTACTGTACTAACTTTGATCAGTTTAAGAAAGGTAACAAAGAAGTGTCTAATTATTATTTTGTTGTCAATGCATGTGAGATATCTTCTACTCTACTGAACCTAACTAGCCACAAATCTCTCATTCTAAATACATATACCATGTTGCTTTTACTTCTGCCAATTACTTAAATAATGCCTGTACTGTATAGTAATGATGATACCTGATCAACCAGGCTGTGACTCATACGTCAGGCTGCGAGCAGCCGCATCCAACAGCCTGGTTGATCAGTCCAACAACCAGGAGGCCTGGTTGACGACCGGGCCGCGGGGACACTAAGCCCCGGAAGCACCTCAAGGTATGCTTCTCATATTACAAAAATATATATTGGAGAAAAGCATATTTCATTATTTAATATCGTTTAAACATTAATTATAGAAATGTTTCTTTTTAGCATTAACCAATTTTACCCTAAAATTATATAACCACTATATAACTATAGATTTGTATGTAATTGATGTACTGAACAATGTAATTTGGTTTAGTTTTATGACCTTCTTAATGCTGTATGTTCTGAAGGGCTTGGTAAAAATGTGCTCTTCCATATATTTATACATTTATTCAGTAATTATCCTATATTGCCTATGTGTTTACAAATAAAAATGTTTAATTAATTAAGGTGCCACTTGCCCCTAAATTGTGTAGCCCATCGTGCCAATATAGCCTTACTTATGTCTAAAATAATAATTTAATATCCAAAGCTGGGGTAGGATGCTGAAATGGTGTAAAGAACACTATGCAAATTTTAATCCTTGAAAGAATAGTTTTCAAAATGTGGCATGTTTGGTCAGAAAATACTTTTAGCCATGGGTAGAAATTTAAATTTAAATGTGCCGTAGCTCACATGTTGTCTCGATCAGGAAACAGACTGGATATAATCAGAATGAATATAGTGTATACTGTCTGTACAGGACAGTACAGTATATGACTTATAAAGTATTTGTCGGTTAATATTTTCAAATGACTTTTACTGAGATATGTGGGTGGATGCAGACCCCCCAATACACTACAACTATTTTGATCCTATTCACAAAATAAAAGGTTTTAAATAATAAGATCAATTCTTGGGTAAAACAGGTTACTCGTCATTCAGTAGGATCCAAAAAAATACTGTCAATAAAATTATGATAACAATGTAACATCATGCACTTTGTTGGATTAGGTTAGGTTTGTTTAAAGAGTAGCAATGTAGTAGTGGGGCCTTGCCTTTCTTAGCTGTTAGATCCTACGCACATTGTTTTTCATCACAAATATTGTACTTTTGAAAAGCACATGGCTGAACTGTATTTAATTATTCTCATTTTAATTTGTTTGCTCTGGGTCCTTAGTTAGATAAGCCATTTATGAAAATAAACACTTGGGACTTCCTTCAATTTACTAGAAATAAATATATTAAATGCAATTGCACAAAGTTTAGTTGGATATGTTAAGTGTTCTTACTACCAATCTGTGGCATTAATTTCATGATTTTTAAAACAAAAAATGTATGATCATATAAATTAATTTCCCAATGTAGTGCTGTACTAGAATACAGTACAGTACTATACTTTTTCATGACTTTTCAAGATTTGAAATTTAGGTAATGGCATTCATAGCTTATCTCTTCATTCATGTTCACAGCAGCAGCCACTTGAGCGTATGTTGTCATCACTTTCAATAGATGTGTCACATAACTTCACACCATTTTCAGACATGTCAATTGAAATTGTTACTGTGTTTTTTGTCATTTAAGTTTCTTATATTTCTCTGATGCTTAGTCACAACACTAATTTCACTGGAAATTGGTCAGACATGACACTTTATAAGCTAGAGTGAAAATCCATCATCGTTTAATGTAAATACACAAGATCATTTAATATAATCGGATGTTTCACCTCCACATTGTAATCACAGTGACATGTAAAAGATGATGGCCACCACTACGTCTCTTATCAAAAATTGCGGTTGATAAGGCTGATAAGGTTTTTCAAATGTCTGTAGATATAGGGCCTGCTCCTAATGCACTCTTGATTATTTCAACTGAAATGTGCTTACATTCCTGTTTTATCTTGTCTATTGTCAGTAGTTCTTAATCTTCATAGGTAGAAGTCAAATGTCCCCAGCATAAAAAGCCTCGGGGCTTATGGTGGCAATATTTGGTGTGCCACTGCATATGCCAATGGTTACCTATTCTTTTTTTTGGGGGGGGGGGAGGGAACTTTGTTTGTTGTATTAACATAGACAAAAAAAAGTATTGAATTATTAAAAGACAAGATTGGAATTTCAATACATTTTTGCTCAACCATTTTGGATCGTTCGAGGAACTTGCAATATTTTCTGTATTTGAAAACCCTCATATTAATTTATTGTACTGAATATTCAATAATTTTGTATAAATAACATTAAGAATTTGCCTGTACTTATGGTTATCGAGGTCTCTCTTGGCCAACAATTACCCTTTTCGAAATGTAACTCATATCAGTTATCTAATTCCCAGGTACCTATTTACTGCTTGATGAACCAGAGAATTATCTTAAGTTTGTAGATTATTATGTATATGTTATTTAGTATTACTTGGAGACCAGCAATGTTATGACTCCTGAAAGATCTACATGCACTCTACTGGAATGAGCACTTCCGATCCCTCGATCATCGTTGCCCCACAATCAACAATAGCTATTCTTTTATGCAGCACAGCACAGTAATTGTTGTAAGGAATGTGAGCATGGAATGCTGATCATGTAACTCATGTAGCATACATATTTCTTTTCAGTCTAGATGCTAAAGCAACCCAGATTCAGATAACAGTGAGACAAGGTGGCCTCAAACTCCTGCAGATTCAGGATAATGGAACAGGTAATTTTTTCATATTAAATTTAATTTTATTTATATTTAATTTAAATTTAATTTTAGTTACATGTTTTTGTATATTAATCAGAAATATTATTGAATAATTTTTTTAAAGGAATGTAATACTGTACAGTAGTATACTGTACCCAAAGAGAGGTTTCAGGAGTTGTTCTACTTCCCCCAAGCCAGGCCTAGGGCCAGGCTCAACGACTACAGTATAAGAAACCTGTATATTTCCATATAAATACTTGTTAAACATTTATAGATTTGTTTATTTTGCCTAATGCCATGTGTAGGAGCTATTTCTGTTTCTTTAATAATTATTTTTTTTCTTTATTAACTTTAAGAACACATTCTCATCACACAGGTATCAGAAAAGAAGATCTTGACATTGTTTGTGAACGTTTCACAACTAGCAAACTGCGAGAGTTTGGAGACTTAACATCAATCAATACATATGGATTCCGAGGCGAAGCTCTTGCCTCTATTAGCCATGTGGCTCACCTGACCATTACTACACGCACTAAGGATTCAAAGTGTGGTTGGAAGTAAGGAATCTCACACTTTAAATATTGGGCAGTACTGTACTGTACTTCAAGTTTTTATTAGGTTAAGTGACTGATAGTTGAAAGTTGTAGCCTTCAATGCATTAATAAACATAAATGCATCCTTCATTTTGAATGAGGATTACAGTCCTGGAGGAATTAGTGAAAGGTACACGTTTACAACTCAAACTTAACCCTATTTTCTTCATTTACAGAACGTTTATGTTCATGAAACCTCCGAAAGTCCACTTTCCTGGGTGGGCCTTCGTTAGCTAGCTCCCTCGTGCATTAGTTCTGGTACTATAGACATCCACAAAACTACCAGACCTCTAGTCTTGCACAAACCTATTGAACACCAGAATCTGGCGTGATTATTGAAGCTAGAGGAGCATGGGGGATTTGAGATTGACTTGAAGCTAATTAAAACTGGTACTAATAAATTATCAAAATGATAATTTGGTACCGCTAATTAATTTAGCAGTACCAAACATACAATGTATCTTGAATGAAAATGAAAAATATGCAAATGAGGAAAGTGGTAGTTTGCACCTGGACAATGTATGTCAACAAACCATGCATTAGTTTCCAGGTTTACCACCAGACAACACCTTAGGTCACACAGGGCTCCGGCATGCCTGACTTGGTAAACTTATGCCTGATGCCTAACACTGCAATCAGTGACACCTTTTTTTTTGTTTTTTTTTTCAAAATGAATTTAGCAACTTCCTGTTGATTTCTGTGCCCAGCTCTCTATTTTCTTCATGGTTTTCTGGGCCTGCCCTCCCTATACTGCCTACTCAATAAACAAAGGGTTAGCCTTACCTTGTCAACTTCACTCCTTCGTAGGATAAACTGTTCCAGTGTTTCTGCATATTTCCATATTATAAATTCATATCATGTGTCAAACTTTCCCTTCCAACTCATTCTCCAATTAAACATCCTGTTACCTCCTGGCCGGTAGTGGCATGTATTCCTTGGCCTGTTTCTTGGTCTGACAACGTTCGTCAGCTCTACAACAAAACACTACTGTATGTCATTGAACACGAAAACATTGTCCACTTCTACCAGGTAAGAATTGTGAAAAATGATACGGGCAAGGCTACTGTAGTAAACTCTTGGTTTAACACTTCTTCACAGATTATCAGTACAGTATGTACAATACCGAGAACGTTATGCTTTTTTATCACTTTCATTTAAAAAAAATTTAACTGCAGAAAAACAAACAAAATTGTTGTATGGTTTTGTTATAAACAGGTTTGTGTTTATAACAAAACCAATTGGAATTCAGCGGGAATGGGAACTTTTAGACGGCGCGGACAGGCAGCACGCCGGTGAGGTTTGAAGTTTCCTAGTTTCCTTGTTTCCTTAATTTGTAGGGTGAGTTCTGCCTCCCCGTTCGGTTTTTGTTCGGAAATTCTTGCCAAGTGGGGTTTGCGTTGTTATGCCTACCTTTCTGGGTGCCAACCATGGTCGATGGCAGACATGGAATGCCCCCAACCACATGGGGGCTTCTATAGGCCATTGCTCTCTTTGCCACTCTGAGGGGGCCCGGTTCTGGCTCATGGTCCCTGGTAGGCTTAACTCCAATCGACCGATGCCCCAGACTAATATAACGCATATCAGCCTGATAGCTTCAGGGAGCCTCCGGGGCTCACCCAGAAAATGGCGTTTCATTTCATTCAACGCTGTTTTTCTTTTTTTTTATAATTATCTGTGTGTAGCAAGTTGTAATTAGTGGTGAAAAAGGAAACTATATATACATAAATATCATTGGCTGAAGATTAAAAACCCAACCAGTATGTGTGTGCTTATTTTGAAAGATTAAAATTTTCTGTAATAATGTATTATTGGTATTTTATTTGTAGGGTTTCATATGTGGATGGTAAGCCAACAGGAGCACCAAAACCATGTGCAGGAAACCAAGGCACTCAAATATCAGTCGAAGATCTTTTTTACAATGTGGTTACTCGCAGGAAGGCACTCAAAAGTGCATCAGAAGAGCATGGAAAAGTTGCAGAGGTAAGAGGAACAGATGTTACATTTCACAAATACAGTGTGAGATACTGAACTTTCACCTTAGTTATCTGGCCTAGTTGGGCTAGAGGTAAAACAGGTACAATACAGTAGTATCAAGTAGTACCACAAAAATGTATAGCTCGATTAACTCGTTATCTTAAGTTATGCCAGAAATTTATTTTATATTTAAAATATTTAGTGGCTTTATAAAATGTACAAATACTTTACTTACAAAGTGACCTCTTCAATCTAATCCTTTGTTTATCTTAATAATAGTAATTTATTTATACATGCATCTCAAATCTATTTGAAAAGTTACTTGTCGACTTGTGATAAAAGCCTGGCCAGAGAATAGAGTTCTGGGTGGACTGTTTGGGCTCTGGTTCAGGGAGCAACTGAGGGATCCATTCAGAATGGAACATTTAATGTTGCTTACTGCCTTATTTTGACAATTTATAATATTTGCATACAAATCTCATACAATATTTCCTATATCCAGGTAGTGAGCAGGTATGCTGTGCATAATTACAGTGTGGGGTTCACACTAAAGAAGCAGGGTGATAATGCAACAGACATCCGCACTCCACCTAACTCGACCGTTGTTGATAATGTCCGCACAATCTATGGCCCATCAGTAGCACGAGAATTGTTGGAAGTCTCCTGTGAAGACACAAACCTCAAGTTCTCACTCAAAGGCCACATCAGCAATGCCAACTACTCTGTAAAGAAATGCATCTTCTTGCTCTTTATTAATCATAGATTAGTGGACTCCACAGGTGAGGAAAGTCAAAAATTATTGCTTTATCCACAGGAAGCCAAATATTTAGTCTATTTTTTTAATCAGTGTCACACAATCTGATCATGAATTATGTGATACAATGTTACCTGTCCTCTCGAATAATTAATTGCATTTTGACATCTAAATCCCCCAATGCACAAAATATGTTGTATTTTGACCTAGATGCATATTTTGTATATTATTTTATTATCTTTGTATTTTATATTTTGTATATTGGGACAAAATTGTAGGGGCTCACAAATGACCATATTTTCTAACTTTACTTTACCTGGTTCTCTTTATTCTTACCTTTTCTCTCTTTTTACCTCTTTTTCTTATTCTTTCCTTTAATCTTATTCTTACCTCTTATCTTATTTTTCTTTTGTTGTTTATATTTCATCTCATTCTTACTTTTTATCTTGTTTTCTTCGTCTTTCTCCTTCAGCCCACCTTTCAAATCACTCACTTTTCTCTGTGTTTCATCTCTTCCACTTTCTTTCCATTACATGACATGATAGTGGTCCTGGACAAACCAAAATGTCATATTTTCTTCATTTTTTGACGTGTGGTTTTGGTATCATATCATCAGCCACACTGTTGTGACTCAATGTCTGTACTTATGTCCACCCTGTTATCCGGCCAGCTCTGCAGAGATGGCCATGGCCTTGCTCTACAGTTATTAGGGACTTCTTGTTACTCTATACTTTTGTTTTTATTTTAATGTAGGTAATTATGTATGTAGTTACTGGATTAGAACTATGCTTATAGTGTCCCATCTTTCCAGTGCTGTACTCCATTATATGACGCTTTGAAACTGCTGACCGTTTTGGCATCCATTGCCTTCTTGCCTAACTTGTTCTAACCATCTATGACTGAGAGAGAGAGAAGTTTCTAATATAAACTTGTTTTCTAGTATTTTTTGGCATAGTCTGAATCTATGACCTCTTGTTCTTGAAGTTGCAAATTTCAAGAATTCCTTTGTCAATTTTGTCAATTCCTGTTACTAATGTATTTTGTATGAAGTCATCTTATCATCTCTTTTTCTACTATTTTCTCACTTTGGCATATTTAACGCCTCTAGCCTCTCTTCATAACTCTGTTTTTCAGATACGGAAACCATTTTGCAGCATGCCTTTGCACCTTTTCCAGTTTATTAATGTGCTTCTTAAGATATAGGCACCATACAACCACTGCATATTCCAATTTTGGTACTTTTACCTTGTGGCTACTTTGAGTAGCTTCCAAGTACAGTATCATAAAAGTCATGAATAATTTCTTTAATATTTCACCATCCATGTACTTAAAAGTGATTCTGAAGATTTTTAGCTTAGCATATGCTCCTTACTCAATGTAGCTTGGCTTTTGTGTGTGCGTTTATTTTATCCACTTCACATCAATAGCAAAGTCTTCTTCCCTGGTCCCAGTGGTTTCTACTAATTAAAATTACATGTTTGTTATACAGTAATTATGGAGGGATCACCATGTGATCCCTGATCATAAATCCTGGATACAGCCTTAGCATATACCGAGTTCCCAAAACCCATATCCATCACGGACTTGGGTGGACCAATTGAGGTGACTGAGGTACTAACTCAGATAATAGCATTTCAAATATTGATTGCTCCATTTTAAGCACCATATGTTAAAAAAAAAATGCATCCTGTTCAAAGTTCATAGTGATATTTTACATGTCTTGGCTGTACACAACGTTTCTGGGAATGTATTCTTGTGTAAATCATAATACTGTACCTGTAATTCATGTGTTCTTTAATTTTTTACCATTAGTAGCATTCAAACCAGAGAAAAATCTTGAATATACATTGTTTGCATTTACTTTTTTCAGCACTAAGGAAAGCTATTGAAACAGTTTACTCATCATACCTGCCGAAGAACAGTCATCCATTCTTGTACCTTAGCTTGGAAATTGACCCGCAAAATGTTGATGTTAACGTCCATCCCACAAAACATGAAGTTCACTTTCTACATGAAGAATCCATTGTTGAAAAGATCCAACAAGCCGTAGAGTCCAAGCTACTGGGTTGTAATTCATCTCGTACATTTTATACACAGGCAAGCTTTAATCTAAATGAGTTTATCATTGAATCTTCATCTACATAATGGGAAGATTGATATATCTTGCACACATTTTTCCTTACCTTTCTTACAGCCATAATTCCTAAGTTTAAATCTGTAACTCACTTCACTCTCAGAATGAGATTTTAGCAACCATTTATTCTGGAAATAGCATAACCTTGCAGCACTTGGGCTAGGCACATGCACCCTTGCAGCTCTTGGGCCAGATACATGTAGCCTTGCAGCACTTGGGCCAGGTACTTGCAGCCTTGCAGCACTTGGGCCAGGCACGTGCAGCCTTGCAGCACTTGGGCCAGGCATGTGCAGCCTTGCAGCACTTGGGCCAGGCACGTGCAGCCTTGCAGCACTTGGGCCAGGCACGTGCAGCTTTGCAGCACTTGGGCCAGGCACGTGCAGCCTTGCAGCACTTGGGCCAGGCACGTGCAGCCTTGCAGCACTTGGGCCAGGTACGTGCAGCCTTGCAGCACTTGAGCCAGGCACGTGCAGCCTTGCAGCACTTGGGCCAGGTACGTGCAGCCTTGCAGCACTTGGGCCAGGCACGTGCAGCCTTGCAGCACTTGGGCCAGGCACGTGCAGCCTTGCAGCACTTGGGCCAGGCACGTGCAGCCTTGCAGCACTTGGGCCAGGGACGTGCAGCCTTGCAACACTTGGACGAAGCACGACGTGCAGCTTTGCAGCACTTGGACCAGGCACAACGTGCAACCTTGCACACTTGGGCCAGGCACGCACAGCCTTGAAGCACTTGGGCCAGCCATGCACAACCTTGCAGCACTTGGGCCAAGTGCATGAAGCACTTAAAGCAATGCATTTTTCGGTTCTTCTGGTACACTCGTTCACATACTGTTCTCTCAACTCTGCAGGCTCTTCTTCCTGGTGCAAGTACAGTTCCAAGTTTGTCTGGAAAAAGTTCCAGTGATACACATGATAAAGGAGGAACATCAGAGAAGAAAGACAAGATATATGCACACCAAATGGTTCGGACAGATTCTCGTGACCAGAAGCTGGAAAAGTTCCTTACAAAGTTAGTAAACATGTTCAGTTAAGAAGAAGTCATTCTCCCTATCTGTGAAATTTATTTTTCATATTATTTTAACTTCCTATAATGAAACTGGATCTCTTTATATAGAGAAGGATTAACATTTATGATGTTATACATAGCTTTTGATTCTCATTATTATTACAGTTAATTATCTTTGAAATTAATATAATTTCTAATGGATGATGATGTATTTAATTAAATATATACAGTATTCAAGTATGAATAAATAAATAATAGATTTTCAATGCTGCTGTTAATAATTTTTTATATTTCCATTTTCTCATCATTGTGTTTCAATATGTTTAGGCCTGAAGCCAGTAAGAATACTGGTGAAGATGAAGACTTTCAAGAAGATAAACAACCCAGCTCTGGCAATGAAGAACAAAATAAGTAACTTAAAAAGGCTGTTTGCCATGTTATAAAATAGTGATAAAGTTGAAATAAGTGTCAACAGTCTGCTAATTTAGCCAAATGATAGGAAAGAGTATGCCATATAAAAATGATCACATGCCTTGTTATAAATACTGTGTTAATACTTTAGAAATAAAGGACAAATTAAAAATTAGTGTTGTTAGAATGCTATGCTACTTACACCATGCCATTTCAGACGGGAAGTAAAGTTGACAAGCATCTTGACACTGCGGTCACAGATGGAGAGCAGTTGTCACGTGGGACTTCTTGAAGCGGTGAAGAACCTGACCTTTGTGGGTTGTGTTAACCCTGAGTATGCTCTCATTCAGCACCTAAACAAGCTTTACCTAACAAACACTTCAGCTCTCAGGTCAATACCTCTCGAACTGTTTCTAGTTTGTTTACATTTGTCAGTTGTTAATGACACACTGTATCACCACTTTACATTATGGCTGCTTGACTTTCATAAAGATCAACTACCCCTAGTTGCTCTTGCATAATACTTCTCTTAATCAGAAGATTTCCATCATGACTGTATTTTCTTATTATATTGAAGGATTGTAACTGTACTGCTGAAACATACATTTTGCAGTACATTTACAAAATGATAGCAGTTTTATATTACAGTAAAGATATCATTTGGTGCCAAAGTTTTACTTAATAATTTTATATTTTTTAAATAATCCAACCCATCCTCCTGTTTAGATAGTACTTTTTAACTGTGGACCATTATATATACATTGACGTAATGGACAATTAGATAGTAGAATTTGGTACTATTCACTTTCTAGAATCCGGAACAAAAAATAAAGCCAAAAACCAAGCAAATATTCCTAGGCCGAGTATAGCACATACGTGTGTTGTATTATACTGTACCAAATAGCATGTATTAGGCCTTGAAAGGTTAGGTTAGGTTAAGTTTTCTTTATAACATCAGTACAAAAAAATTTCAGGTTTGTCCAAATTCAGTAGTTCAGATTTCTACTTTCTAATTGCCCTTTATGTCAATATGTACGATGGTCCTCATCATTACTATGAGTACAGTACAGTACTACATAAACAGATGGATGGACTGAATAATCATAAAAAATGAGGAGATGGCATATATAGATCTGTATTTTGTCTACTCCATGACTTCTAAATGTGAGACGATAATTTTATAACACTACAGTATACATGTGCATCATTACTAGGCAATGTGCTGCAAACAATAGTAAGTCTGTATGTCACAGTCACAGGGCAAATATTACATGTAGACATTGGTTGACCTTAATACCCAAAAGTTAAGAGCTTAGATTTTGTCAATCTATTGCTAGAAACCTGTGTTGCTGGTTGGGGTTATCCTAAGAGCAAGAGATTATCATTATGTGATCTTATTTTAACATTAACAAGAAAGACAAATCTTTTATACATGTAACGAGCATGTGCACCGAGCCATTCATTATAAATAATACAAATTATGAACTATATCATGAAAGTTTAAAACCTTGCAAAATGCTTGTCTTGCATGAATACCGGACTAAAGTTATACAAAAGTTGTTGCTTCATGGTATAATAAATAATTTTAACTTTTTTTTTTTTTTTTTTACTAAGTATTTGCTTTTTCATTCTTGGATCTGCAATATAGTGAGGAGCTCTTCTACCAGATTATGCTGAATGAGTTTGGCAACTTTGGCATCCTAAAATTATCAGTGAGTATAAATTGCAAATGTGCTAGATTTTTTTAAATTACATATGTAAGTTGTCATAACTTACATGTCATGTATTTTGTATGCAACTTATCCTGTGCTTCAAAGGAGCAGTGTGATAAGAATGCTGATTTATTGTTGCCTAATGAAATCAACTCAAGGTGCACCAGGCTTTCATGAAATGCATTATGAAAGACAGAAAGGTCTGCAGTTCCTTGCCCCCTATGCAGCTCTGAGCATAGATATAACTTTCAAAATGTCAGGCATGCATTCAGATAATGTCTAACTTTTACACCCTATTGTATTTGTGAAATTTTTGTACAGTATATTTAGCTTAGAGCATCTTGATTACACCTGCATGTATATTACAGTATATCGATCTCAAAAGCATTTCTGTACATCAGAATCTTTATTAATTCTTGTTGGTACTTGCAGCTTCACTTCCATTAATTAACATGGTATGGATCACTTAATTCCAAAAGGGGCAGATCATGCCCTGTCTTTGGTTGTTTGCCGGGATAGTCAGGTTCTTAATGCTCAGCATATCGTTCTTGTTTTTTTTTTGTGGCCCCAAACACACTAGCCTTAGTTCTATGCTGGCTGCTTCGGAGCCAGTTTTAATGGATGATCTTGGGATCAGACCTCCTGAAAGTTTTATCTGAAGGCAATATTTTTGCATTGAAGTTTTCCAGTTTTCCACCTATGCTTGGGGAAACCAGTATGCTCTTCTCGGACAGAATCTGATTAGTCCTTCCAAGGTTCCTGGATTCTGCTCCTGATCTGGGTTGGTATATAACTGGAACATGTTTCTATGGCTGAACTTTCTTCCTCTCCAGAGGTGATGGGCATCCAGTCTGAGATAATGCCTGTAGAGGCTGCTTGGGTTCCCTTTGACCCATTATGGGCTCTGGTGACCTGGCCTGGTGAACCCTTTGTCCAGTGCTGCCTTGGGGTCTTTTTTTGATAATTACTTTGTCCAGTTAGGAATATGTTAAATGTGTCCACTTTCCCACATTCAAGGTTGGTAACTTTATTGTTCTGCCTAGGGGTTTGCTTATGTTCAAGGCCCTGACATTCCACGTTTTAATTACCGGTAGTTCTCACAATCTCGTCTATGACTGTGGACTCTGCAGAACATGCTATTCCTATTGTGAGGTGAGGCCCTTGCACCTGAATTGGATCCTGCTCTTTGGGAGTTTGGTTCCTCAACCACTTCGTTTTCCTAGACTGGGAGGCTATCTGCTCATTTCCTGGGCAAAATGAAACTGAACATTGGTCTTAAATTGGAAAGCGGTCTTCTCTTTCTTTAAAACAGTATATTTTTGTTTTGGGGTGTCTTATGATTTCCCTAATAAATCTTATGGTTCTACCTTCCCCAGTGTGATAGGATTAAGCAGCTGCATGTTCAGGTTACATTTTATCCACAGCTTTTATCACAGTGAACTGTAATGATGATACCTAATTATTAAACATATAGAGAGGTTTAGTAACATTATGGGACCTATGTCATGAAAACATAACAGGATATAAAGTAGAAGTATTATTTGGACTTGTGAATTTATAATATGAAAAGGTAATGTTTTTACATTTTCTAGAGTCCTGCAAGTATATATGAGCTGGCTATGATTGCCTTTGATATGGAGGAGAGTGGTTGGACAGAGGCAGATGGGACAAAGGAGGATTTGGCATCTTACATCAGGACACTGTTACTGTCCAAGGCATCCATGCTAGATGACTACTTTAGTTTGCAGGTTGATGACGAAGGCAACCTCTGTACGCTTCCATACTTGCTAGGTTGGTACATGTTCCCTTTAAGGTAAAGATGAACAACAAAGTAACTTCTTCGTGATGTTCTGCAAAGTTGCCTTGTCACTGTATGAATTGTCATTGATTTCAGTAAATCTTATGCAACTTTTACAGTTTTCCTCTTTAGGTTCTAATTGAAAATTATAACATTGAGAAAAATAGAGTTTGACGTATCATTCTGTGTTACCAACTCTAAAAAAAATTTGCTGTTTTTTAAGTACTAATTTGTTACAAAATATGATTACAATATTTCAATATTTTCTGGGCTGGCCCTCAGTAGCTCTCTGGTAAACTGTCCTTAACGCAATAGAGACATGCACAAACCTACCAGGCCTCTGGGCATGTACAGGCCTACCAAACACCAGCACAAAAGCCAGGGGAGCTCTCAGATCCCCACACTACCCTAGCTTTTGAAATCAACCCAAAATTGAAATAACCAGTCTGAAGGTAAAATGTTGCTTCTTCTTCTACTAATTTTTTATTTTTTTTCAGACGATTATGTTCCAGCCATGGAAGGTTTGCCAATGTATGTGTTGCGCTTGGCAACAGAAGTAGAGTGGGATAATGAACTTGAATGCTTCCAGACATTCTGCAGAGAAACCGCAAAGTTTTATGCTGTTCAGCGAAACCATGCACCACTGGAAGAGGTACAATATATATATTTGGTTTATATTGGTTTTATGTCCCCAAGTATTACATTACTGTTTCCACGCAGAACCACCCGAACCATAAAAAATACCGTTTATTTTCATGAAACATCTTTATGAATATTACCGGTGAAGTGTGATGCCACTTTTTCAATTGTTAAAATAATAAACTGCACTGAAGTATGTTGAAGTCTTCCAGTTGTACCAGCTACAGTTAACACGACCTCATTATACCAGTTTCTAGTCTTGCATTTTGTTGTTTCACTAGGTAAGATCTGCCAAGGCCTTGGAAATGTATAAATTTAGGTAATAAAATGTGTGGAACGTCGGAATGCTCAAATATATTTGCTCAATATTCTTTTAACAGTAAGACACTTTTTTTGCTTCACCATAGCAAACCAATAAGAACTTCTGATGAGTGTGAAATGAAATTCAACACAACACCATACAATACCAGATGATGCTATCTATTGCATTGGTTTTTCAGGCATGCCTTCATGTCTGCAACAGTAGATACTACTTTTATGAATGGCTATATTTTAGAAATATTCCTGCAGGCAAATTAATCAGTTTATAATGTTCTTCAGGATGGTGATCGTGGGTGGCGCTGGCAGGTTGAGCACCTCTTGTACCCAGCTATGAGGAAGACTTTGCTGCCAGCACAGCACTTTGCCCAAGATACAACTTTTCTTCAGATTGCTAATCTCACAGAGTTGTATAGAGTTTTTGAGAGATGTTAAGGTATAACTATTTGCAGCTGATAAAAACAAAAAATTCATCTTGTAAAGCTATGTATACAATGTACTGTACTCCGAAATATTATTAAATTGAAGGTTTTGCATAATGTTTTCATTGCCAATTTATGTTCACTATGTATTTACATAAGAACATGCAGTATAAAAAAAAAAATGACTGCACCTTCTCTCTCTCTCAGGATTTCACCCATAAAACTGCCATGGCTTTCATGTAAATACTATTTTGAAGGGTGTACAATCAAAGTTCAATTATATACACATTATCTTTTATGTTTGATCTGTGCAAACTTTAGTGATTTACAGCTGCCCAAAAGATTTATGAAAATTGTATATTAAATATTTTTTTCTGTTAAGATGATTTTCACTTAATCACATTTATTAAAAATAAATTCTATCTGTAGATGACCAAAATGCAATACAGTATAGTTTTCAGGTAAAAATACGATAAACTCAACATTTCCTCTGCAACTGATGCCATTCACGGATTGCTAAAATGTTAGATACACCTTAGTCTAGCATCCAAGAATGTGGGCAACAAAGTCTAGCCATAGTAAATTTACATTACTGAGATAAGGTTTAAGTAGGAAACACAGTAAAGAGGATGGCAAATGCTCTATTTCATCTACATTATGTCTGGCAGTTTACACTATTTACAATACAACAGACTGTACATCTCAGACATGAAAATATATACTAGATAATATGAAAATTGAAATGACTCAAATGATGAGGATTTCAATCGCAAAAATGTATCTTATTTACATATAAACCTATTAGATGACAAACATTACAGCACACTTTTTACACAACAAATGACGTATTACCAATATAAAAACCATGACTCCACTAATGTACAACCTGGCTAACTTTACAATATCAGGCTCAAAATAATTGCAGTACATATTGTCATACTCCAAGAGAAAACTATGTATTAGTGTCAATAATATATACTTTAAACACATTCTTTTGTGCATGCTTTATGATTCCTAATATACCGTTTTCACACTTGGACAACCTTTCACACAACCTTGTTTACTTGCTGACACAGTGTGTACCCAGATAAATAGCTGCATAATATACAAGAAATGAAGGTAACACTACAGTGCTTGCCACCACGGTCCATAGTGACAAAACCATAGAAATATTACCAGCATAATAGAAGCCGATGTATTAGTGACTAGAAATTTATTATGTAACTAATCTGATAATATATACATACATAAAATCATGTACAGTACTTGCACAGTAGCCTCTTGGTGTATTTTTGAAGCCAAGACAAGCTTAATGAATGATGTGCACCAGCTGACCAAGTTCAGTAAAGTCCAACATTAACACTATCAGTATTTAAAATATTACCCATTCTTTGGAATTTTATCTATAAAGTAATAAATAAATTTATCAGTGAGGGATTTCACCCAACCTGGATAAATAAGCTGTATGTGGGTCAATATAAAGATCATATCTGGTTGATGATAAGGTTACCAGACAATCTTGGTGCCACATGTATTATCCACCAACATACTATTTAGAAATAGAAGAAAAACTAGCGGTAAAGAAAATGAGGAAAACAAAGTAACTCTCAGTAGCGAGTTAGTTGCCCCACCCCCCAACCCCACCTTGATCTAATAAGGCTTATGATCCTACAGGCCAATCACGTTTCGGACATACTATATAATGTCATAATACAGTTGCTTTACATAATCCATTTCTTATTTTGGTCCATTTCAATAGACTCTTAAACTAAAGAATTGTCTTCTGTTTGTAGCATGACATCTTATTCTCTTGTACAGTAGTAACTATCTTAAATTTATGACTGGTTCCAAATTATAGGAATCGACAGCTAATCAAACTACCATTCACCTGGTAATTTTTCTTTCAATTATGGTGCAAACAAGTCAAATTGACATATTTATATCAATTATTAATCTTAAAATGCATACAAAAATAATTACAATAACAATATACCTTTACTCACAGCACAACAGTACATGAAGCCTATTCACCAATTACTTATTAAAAGTAGCTTACTTTTTTTTTGGGTACTGTCAATCCTAACCTACAGTGCTGGTAAATTTCAATTTGCAATAGTCCTTGCATCACAGGTACACCACCAGATAAGGTCCGGTTAGTGTGTTAAAAGTTACAGTACATTTACCTATTTTAGTAATGGACATGATGCATATGCCATTACAAATCTTAATAAACTAGAATTGCAGGCTAGAATTCCCTTGTACATCAAGGGAAGCAAACCAATGTTGGATCGTTTAGGAAGCCACACCTTGCAAACCTACAGTTCTGCCAATGGTATTTATCCGAGTAAAACATTTGTGATGCTTTATAATAAATAATATGAAAGCTTAGAAAACCTGTGGGCCAAATAAACGTGTCATACAATGAACACCACGAAGCCATCGTCACACTGTATGCCTGGACGATTGGGATACTATCTTTAGTTACATTTGTTTGTAAACTCTATAACAAAATCTTTTAATACATTAAATCAAACTTCTATGTAATGTATATCATACACGACTTTCATTTCAAAAAAATTTCTGGTTTAAAGCAAGGCAAGTCTGATAATGAATCAATAAAGATACATATACTGTATAATACACATACATACATACATGTACTGTATATAAATCTTCCTTCAATATAATACTAATTACAACATGGATTCAAACAAATGTGCGATTCTTAAACCGAGAAGCACCAGGCCGCACGTAACGATCAGCGAAACAAGTGTTTAGGGTTCAAACTGCACAGCTCGAGTCACAACATGCACTTCTTGGGGCATTAACCAACATCCAGCATCAATATGGGAAAATCTAAAATAGGCTGAAACCTGTAAACATATTTAAAACAACCAGTGTAATATCACACGTAACTAAGCTTTGTTTCAATACCTCGATACAACACTGGGCCCAATTATTACATTTCTTCAAACAGTAAAATAGGCTACTATTTTAAGAGGAAACATTGCAAGAAACCACTCTGATCACAATCAGGTGTGCATCCTACAGACTGCTATGCAATGAAGTGCATGTTCAACGAAACATCATAAATCTCGAGTACAGCACTACTGTACTTAAAACACATTTATTTGTAACGATTTCAAATTAGATTTTTGGATCTCCAACAATCTTCATGCTGGTTTAACACAACACTAATGTTGAAAATATACCATATTATACAAGCATACCTTGCTATACAGAACAGATACGTAACCTAAAATACTAGTAACAGAGCAAAATTCTGTATGTCAGATACTAGTGTTCATGCTCATTACATGTATACTGGCTGTACCTATTCTACTGTCATCAGATATGCCATTCTGGAATTTTGTCTTAATATACTTTGCCAATTCACACAAAATAAATATGGAAACATTAATCAACTAGTTTTATACGTTAATCTACTTTTATACAAAATCATTATAAATACTTATGTTCAGAAAAGTGAGAAATAAATTACTGTACCAGGTGGCATACAAAACAGGCTACACCATGCAGTGTGTTATCAATCCCTGCAATGTACATTAATCTATATTTATTAATTTTCTTTTACTAATACTGGTTCACACTGTTTCAGCCTTGCTTGGAAATTAGAAACTTGGAAAGCCCCCCATTCCCCTTGCCCCTATGACATAACTATGTGGCCGACACAGCATGCGTGTCAATAAGTATGTGATGGTTAGTCACAGAAGCGGTGTGTTCGAGTGTTTCCTAGCAGGTGTGTGGGCCACTATCAATTAGTCTGTTGATTTCCCTCTAATTTGTTAATAATTTACCAATTAAATATATTAAATATTTCATTAATGCAAGTTTAGCAAAACACGTACACAATTTGTTTCCTAATTTATAGATGAAACTCTGTATATTCAGAGCCTATACTGTATAATGTGAGGCGACTGTACTGTAAAAGCAATTAAATTCTTTGAGATTATGTGAAATTTATAAAGGAATGTTCTTTGGGATTAATGAACACACCTTAAAATTGCAGCAAGAAGTTCTTTTCATTCCGAGAGAATTAAAAACTCTTTAAACTGGAGTAAATATTCATTACTTACCTCGAACAAATACAATTTTTTTTTTATCTGTGTTCCACAACATATCTGTAACTATATTCCTTCCAGCTAAAAAAATCTAGGTATTAGTAAATTTCCAACAAGTACACAAGATACACACATCATAAATCAAGCATCAAACAATAAATTTCTATAACATACAACACTGGCAATTAAAAAATGCATTTCCTGACCCCTAAACCAAGTTAGGCACATTGTTAGTTTTACGGAAAAACTTGTCTTTTAATTTAAATTTCATACAAATAACATGTATAAACTCACTGCCGTAGTCTAATGCAATTTCAGATAAATGAATCTTTTAAGCCAGTTTGACATGACTTTTAGAAAATGGACCCAAACATAAACCCTGAAATCACTAAAATTTTTAAAATGTCAACATATGCATTTAAAAATTAGTTGATACTGTATTTTTCCTAATTATATAAAATGAGTAGTAACATTTATTCATCTGATGATAAATATGTCTGCTGGAAGATGTCCAATTCATTAATGAGGTAATGAGCTTTGTTACGCAGCTTCTTTGATGTTGCTGTAGTGTCTTCAAGTTGCTGCACCTCACGCTCTAGGGATCGAACATCCCGCTGCATCTCACTGGTGCTGTCATCAACCAAGCGGCATAGGCGGGCAAATGTACCACTCAGTTCCCTAAAAGTTGTAAATCATGTAATGTATCTTTTCTACTAAATGTAGTTGAAATGGACCAAGTAATTTACATAGATTTCACAATTAGCAGTGCAATTTTCTATAACTTCATGGTATAATTAGTATATGTTGGCTATCTTTCAAATTATATGTATCTTATTGACTTCCCACTTTAAATGAAGTTAGTTGTGGTATCTTTTATCATTTACAATATAATGTTTAATGTTGATAAATTGTAACCAATTATTTTTAATTTATTGCTACTCTACTTACTTCAGCTGATATTTTTACAAAGACTGTACTGTTGTCATTACTAGTACACAGTGTACAGTATTACCATATATATCAACTCTCAAGTTGTAAGCTAAATGATTTAAGTTTCACTAAAACTGTAAGTTTGATTAACTCTGCTGTACACCCAGTCAGTTCAGCCAGAATTGTAATGAATCAGTGTTATGCTATTGCTATTAATTTGTCCTTGTTTAAATGAATAATGTACTTTGAATATTGTAAACTAAGTGAATTATAAATATACAGCCATTTACAAATCTAGTTTTTTCACTTGGATTTGATAATGCCAAACATTATCCAAAATATGAGATCAATTTATTTATAATAAATTAATAAAAAAAAATTCTTTGTAAAAAATCAAGATTGATTTTATCTTGCTACTTACTGTTGAACCTGATGAGAGCAGTTGTGAGATGTCAGGTCTACAATGAGTCGTAGCTTACGTGTTGCATGATCCACATACTGCTTCTTGAACACGCGTTCTCTTGCCTTGTTGGTCCACGTCAGACGTTCGTAGGCATAAAGACAACCATAAATACCCCCAGTCAGCACTATCAAGCGCCATCCTACTGTTTTGAACATCTGTAAATGAACAGTGTCATTATCATCACAGCCCCATTTACCACAATTGTGAGGTGGGAAGTCATCAACAGAATGAAACATACTACTATACATATCTTATATGCTCCAAAACAAAAAAAATACAAATTAAAAGTGTAAACAGGACAATTGAACAGCCAGAAAGACATCATATCTTAGTGCAGGCTGCATAATCATTGCATGAAAAAATATGGACAACAGTGAAGGCAAGGATACAAAGATGCAGCTCGTGAATTACAGCAAGTGACTCCAGTCTATGCCTGCCAAACACACACCAAAACTACGACGTTGGTACAACGATCGAACAAGTTTTAACATTTCCTAACCAGTTATAACAACCAAAATAGCAAGTTGTAACAACGTTCTAATACGTCATAAACACATTAAGCCAAGATGTAAACAACTTTATTGAAAGTTGTAACGAGCAGAAAATAGAGACAATTTCGGTTTGTGTTTCCAGGGTGTACATATATATTTTTGTAGACGTTAATCTATGAATGTTAATACATAATTTCCAGTTGCAGGATTGTTATTATTATACAGTGAATGCCATACATATTTTCATGAGGCTATTACTGCTCCTTTCCTTGTTTTGTATGCAAACCTATTTGATTTGCATAGGTTTGGTGTTGATAATTTGTAAAAAGAAATTGCAGGAATAGCTAATTAATGTTTTGTCAATTAAAAACTGCAAATCAAAGTACTGTACTGCATTTCCACTGTGATACTCTATTCCAGACAGCTGTTTAGGTGGATATCAACAAGAGCTGCCTCGAATGGGCCAGTTGCACTATGGTTTCCTCAAATCTTAAAGTACATAGTTAAAAACATTGAGTTTGATACTCAGAAATAAATGCTCTCGTGTATATTCACAAGACAAGTTGTATGAACAATGTCGAGCACTGCCAAGTCACAAAAACTTTAATAATCTTACAGTGCACAGATACTTATAAATACTTTTCTTTATGTGTACAAAGGATTGATCTGATGATGATATAGCAGGAAAGGTCAAAAAGAGTTTTAAATTAATAAAGTTTATCTAATAAATTTTGAATGCAAAGCATAATTTGTACATCAAATTATCATCATTTGTATCAAAATGATCGGAAATGAATGGTCTCGTGTATAGTAAAAGAAAGGACAACTAATGTCGGCTGTGTGAGGTGTTTCTAATGATCAAATAAAGCACTAATATATAATCAGAATGCAACAGAAAAGAAGTAATGATTGGTTTGTTAATGCCTCAAACAAATTTTCCCACAAGAAATAATGTAAATTGAATTAATCCATTCCACACACCCAAAAATATAGACTTAAAACACATTTTATACAAAACACAACTCATATGTTGTACTATCATACATCTTATCTTTACTGAGAACTCTTGTTGGCGTATGGATGATGGTGAGGAGGGGGAGAGAAAAACAATGAAATTCTTTACAAAGAATTCAAGTGCGGTTGTCACTAGGTGGGAGACACTGGTAAACTGAGCGTGCCTCGCCCATGCCCAACAGACCACGCGCTCGCTCGACCCATACAAGTATCAACAGATGTCTACGGGCTACTCATGCCTGTGCCACCTCTTGGGGTGGCTTAATCTTCATCAATCAACAGATGTCGTATTCCAGGGCAAATGTCATACACCAAGTCAAATTTTACTAGGAATTTGACGTCGTATACCAAAAAAATCGTAATCTATGGCAGTCGTGAACCAAGGTACCACTGTACAGTCATTTCAAAATTAGCACAAGGAATAGAAATCTTCATTAATATTAATGTTCTAGCTGGAGTTTAACAAGACTTACCAGACCTAATGCAAGGGCAACTCCCATAGTACCCTGAGAGCCTATACCGGAAACAGCAAAGCGGCTGATGATGGACCAGTCATCTTGGGGTAGGCCAAACTGTGGTTCATTGCTAGGTGTTAATGGAGTCATCGGCACACTCCGGGGAATCTGAAAATGATTTCAAATTTACTATTCCATTCCATCACACACTGCATAAAGCAAACATAAATTCAAAGAAATTAATACTGTATTATCTGCATCAGGGTAGATCGCCTGGGATTTTAAGCAGTAGAATTCATTAAAATCCTCCTCAATATGCTTAATATTTATCTCATAATCTGCATGTCAATGAATGATCATTAGTAATGCTTCAGACATATTTGATTCATCACACAATTTCACTATCAACTGTATTAAGTAATCACCATGTTGCAAATTTCATTACTTTGTGTCAGTTTTATACTATACATTACTCAGTAGATACTAAAAATTTGACCTATATATACAACATTGAAAGTGTTACCACCAATTGCATGCAAGTGACAGAACATACACCAAACAGCTGTCTGGAATAGAGTATCACAGTGGAAATGCAGTACAGTACTTTGATTTGCAGTTTTTAATTGACAAAACATTAATTAGCTATTCCTGCAATTTCTTTTTACAAATTATCAACAGTTTCAAGCAGTTGTGTAACAAATATCTTGTGTGAGGATGCCACAAGACAAGACACGTTACTCAGGTCTCACTTCAGAAACACTCATGGGTGGCTATATTTCTCACCAAGTTGCCTGAACAAGGAACCTTTTTTAAACACTATTACTTTGGTATCTCTACTGCATTATTTCCACAAGTAAATACTTTCTGAAATTAACATAAATTTATGTTATAAAATAACACCTATTTGTCAGAATTATGTGATCACTCCTCTTGGAAAAAGAATGAAACTAACTCGTTCAGACAATGACCTATGATTATTAAAACTTGGATATTGTTGCCAAGCTTACACCATACTCTGTCCAACTGCAGCTCCTTGCAGATATAGAGCTGTACTTGTGACTTTTAAGTGTTTTTAGTCCGAGTGTTCTTAAATACTGTAACCGTGCTTCCTTTAATCAAAGTGTTACCAATACCAAACAATTTTTATTCAAGGATCATAATGGTGCAAAGCTTAATTTCAATTAGTCCAGAAGTTTATAATTACGAGTCAAATGTATCCAGAAGATATACAGTACCGTATATATACATATATGTGTGGTGACTAAACCATATATGATGACTGTTGGCATCACCAACTGATTAAGAAAGCCATTTCCTTCATGTGGATCATACTAACAAGATAATATTTCACCTGGATATCTGAGATTATCAAGTGCAGTAAAGCATAGGAAAGATATCTCATGAACCGTCACTTAAATTATGTTTAGTCAAGAGAAAATGCTAATATACTATAAACATTATGAAATAAAACTAAGAAATTTAATTTAATTTGCCTTAAAAAAGTTTATTTTCTTATCAAATAAAGCTTACATTTTCCTTGTGTCTCTGATTTACTATGCGGCTGCTGGCTTTTCCCAAGACACGTTGAACTAGAGATACCAGTCCAAGAGAAAACTTGAATTCTATGTCCTCCTGTAATAGAAAAACCAATTAATATTAATATTAACAAACTTAATATAAAGTAAGAAAAATTCAAAACACAAACGTATATACTGTACACATATATACTGTATATAATGTAACAAAAATAAAGACAATGTATACTGTTGTCTATTCTACTAAGTTTCTCACCACAAAATCAGCACAAAGATTTTCACAATTAAGGCGGTATAGAATCTCAAATGGTTCTCGTCTGGGCAACATTGTGGCAGCCAATTCACGCTTCTCCTTTCCAAGGAGAGCTAGCATTCGGTCTGGGTGAAGAGAGAAGTACTAGTTAAGTTGCTCTAAACAATACAAGAAATACAGAACTCAGTAATGCAAAATGCCAACAGCAATGTCCAACAAGAAGCATCTTTTGAATAGCCAAGAGCTACATTCCATAAAGTATGGCATTATTGTTAAAATGTGTCATGATGCTAATATTTTATAAAACACAATAAACATTATGCAAAACTACCTGATAAAAAGAATGAATAAAGGATAGAATAAAAATATAAAAACAATGTGACAGTATTGGTCAGAAATGCATCTATCCCCATTTAAGAGTTGAATAATAATTGAAATCCATTCACTCTTTATAAAATGGTTTCCACACAGCCCTTTACCGTATCTCTACATTTATCACACTAAATCCCTGCTTCCTCTCATACTTACTCACTCTGGCCATCCGTCATCTTCCCAGCCCTCCTTTCTTCATTCTACCTTCAAATTCATCCAAATATCCTTACCACCAACCTTTCATTATTCATCCATCATGCTCAAACCATCTTGGTGCACTTTCCTCGACCTATCAACTTTTGAGTTCCACATTTTTCCATGAGTTTTATTTCTTTCTCTGTTCACATAACACCACATATTCTCTGACTGTTAATTTATACTGCTCTAATTCCCGACTGTACTAGTATAGGCACTAGCATTTACATCATTATTTACTTTATCTATTTCTATTTTTTCTTAATGATGGCTTTCATTACACCAGCCACTTTCCTCCCTTGACTGAATTTACTTTCAATTCTGATTGTACAAATTCCTATTTATCAATCAAATCTCCCAGGTATTTAAATTAATTGATCACTTTAAGTACTTCACCACAAACATTACCTTTTTGTGTAATTGTCATTACCTTTTAACAGCCTTCTCTCCCACATACTATATAATCATACTAGCTAAGCACTTTCTTTTCATAGTTACCAGCATACACACACTGGGAAGATGAGACACCACAAGTGTAATTATCATCCTGTAGCTACACTTGGGCAATGACACCACAAGCGTAACTTTCATCCCGTAGCTACACTTGGGCAATGACACCACACGCGTAACTTTCATCCCGTAGCTACACTTGGGTAATGACACCACACGCGTAACTTTCATCCCGTAGCTACACTTGGGTAATGACACCACAAGCGTAACTTTCATCCCGGAGCTACACTTGGGTAATGACACCACACGCATAACTTTCATCCCATAGCTACACTTGGGTAATGACACCACACACATAACTTTCCTCCCACAGCTACACTTGGGCAATGACACCACACGCATAACTTTCCTCCCATAGCTACAGTTGGGTAATGATAATGACTCCATGATACCATTTTAGGCGTGTCTACATAAATCTCTCACTCTCAGTGAAAAGTATTGTATCAGCTGCATAGTGTCATATTAAATTTGACATACTGTACTCTAATTACTGATATTAGGCTTATACACTAAGTTTACACTTTTCTTTAACATGCTCACCTGCTTCATGACCCACTCATGTATATACTGAATTACTAAGGTGACATCACACAACCCTGGTACATACTTACATTATCATCAAACCAGTCACTCATAACATCATTAACCACATATGCACTAAACATTCTACATAAGAACTTAATTACAAAACAAGAAATAATTAAATGCTACAATTTTAATAATAAAATAAGCAGAATGAAAATACAGCAGTACAGCTTACTGGTCATTTCTGCCTGGCTGCTTTCAATGTTGAGAGCCAAAGCTGAAGACAGTCTAGCTCGCAGGTTAGACCCCAACCCCGACTCCACGTGAGCATGGAGCGTCTTCTTAAATACATTTAATACTAAGGGATCTGGATGGAACGGCTCATTAAATTCATCCACCAGCACTGAGAGTCGCCGAATTTCTTCATTAAGAGCATTAGATACCTGTGTGGAAAACAAACTTTAAGTAAGTTACAAATATTTGCATCTGTCCAGTATAAAAATTAGGGTGAAAAATACTAAGCGTATTAAAATCACTAGAGCAGCCAAGTGCATAAATGTTACATTTTGAACAGTAACTTACCTAAATAAAACCATTTATGCACTCCACCAGCCAACAAAACTTTAAAACTACTACCTTGAATATGAAAAACTCCTGAGAAGGGTGTATTATGTCACACCCAGAGAGCATCTGAACTCCGCTATCTATCAGAGTCAATGAATGGACCAGCAATGTCACAAGTAATGCCACATGGATTAGTATCCTCACGAGATCACTTAGCCCTGGTAATGATATTCTTAAATCTTTCTAGTAAATTCCTAAATCATTGAGTTACACAAGAACCAGAGTTACTGCAAGCACAACCCAGTTTGTGTAAGAGAACCATTGTCTTCCTCATGGGGCCTACTGTCACTCCACAGTAAACACTGTGGCAACATTGAAGGTTAACTCAATTCTATTATTTGGTTTGTTAATGATGCATTTGACACTGTGGAGCTTAGGCTAATATAAACACACTTGCTCCAAGTGATAATGGTATCAAAATATGGGCAAATGTCTTTAATTTGCACAAATACAAAATATAACACATTTGTGAATATAATACTGTACTGTAAATAACAAGATCCAGACAAAATATAAACATGCACAAATAAAGAAAACTGCAGAAGGCCAATTGGCTCATTACAAAAGCAGCTCCTATTTCTATCCATTCAAACTCCTTCATGTAATCTACACATAAACCAGTAAAGTTCTTTTGCATCAAAGAGGGTTCAAACATTATTCCATTCAGGTAAGTCTCCATTCTGTTTGTAATATGCTCATTTTAAACTGAAATGAATTCATCAATATAGTTAAAACAGTGTTAAGTTAAACAGTATATTACGATTAAACCTGGATAATATTTTACATTGCAATGTAGTTTAAACCTCTTCAAATATATTACAAACTAAAACCAATTGTCTAAAAATTATTGATGATATACCAAGGTTTTTGTTTAAAATCATCTTACACAAAGTTTCGCTTCACTTACTCTTCGTTCAACATCTTCAACAATAGAACATATCTTCTCTTTCATCTGAGTAGTAACATCGGTGAGTTCCCTCTCCGTATGGTCTAGCCTAGCATAAACATCATGCCTCTCCTGCATCTTCTGTTCCCGCTCCTGCCACGCTCGCTCCATCAGTCTTCCAACATTCTGTCCAATCTCACTGTTCAGAATAAGAAACAAAAATACCTCAAAACTAATCGTGTACACTACTGCAAGACACTGCACACGGAGTCTCCTACTTAAGGTGGAGACTTCAATTATAGTATTAATAGCAGTAGTAGATTTTAATCAGACTAATGTTTAAGAAGTATTAAAATCTGCTCTAATGCAGAAAATACCTGAATCATATAATAAGTCAATGTTGGGATGTAAGTTGCCAAGGACTGAGGCACTCCGTGTTCCTTATATATTTCAGTGTTGATACTGCAATATGCTCTTACAAATCACCAAATTTACCATGTCTACACCTGATACAATGCAGGTTATACAGCAGTTTACATGTATATTTTTTACTTGAACAAATTACAATCAGTGCACTTCTTCATTTATTAACTTTCTCAAACTTTCAGTTTACCTTATTATTAATACACAATCTTTAATTTCTTCTATTTAAAGGTTTCCAAATGTTCCGTCTATTCCATTTTTCTACCAAATCAATATAATTCACAAATGTTAACCACTGACTTGTATTAATTAAAGCTTTACTTAGACCTGCACGCAATCAAATATTCAGAGATAATGTTACACTAAAAGTGTTCTGAATGTTGATCATTAGAAAAAAGTTGCTAAATTTCAATCTCCTTACTTGGCAATATTTTTTCCTCGTTGTGTGTGCTGTTCAAATTTAGTGATGACAGCAGTTTTTGAAATACACTCTTCAAATTTCCGTTCAAAATCTTGGAATTCAAGATAGCGACTTGTAAATCCTTCTGGATATCCAGCAGCTGGAAAAATGCAAATTGAGTGTTAGAATGAGCAACATCGCCAATCGCTTGCATCCATACCAAAACCCCTTAAGATAACTCCACTCTGTTAAAGTTCAAGTACCTACTCCAGTCAATGTGTGCATGAGTGCATACAGTCCCCTTCACCACATTCAGGCAGTACCTCGAACACAAGATTATAATGGTTGGTAATGAACATAGATACTGAAGTATGGGAGAGTATTTAGTAGTGAACAAGGGTAGTGATGCATGAGGAAGTTAGGTGATCTACAGAGGATTATTTAGTATTTTTCAAGGACAGAGACGGTAACATCAAATCAAATCATATTACCCCACATCCCAATTTCATGGGGTGGCAGACACATCAGCCTGGGGTAACAAGGGTACCAGCATAGGGAAAAAATAGTATATATGACAATGTCAGACCACGAAGGAAAAATGAAACAGGAAATTTCCTTAAGTACTTTCGTATATTAAATACATCTTCAGAAGGTGAAGATGTATTTAGTTAATACGAAGGTGAAGATGTAAATACATCTTCACCTTCTGAAGATGTATTTAATATACGAAAGTACTTAAGGAAATTTCCTGTTTCATTTTTCCTTCGTGGTCTGACATTGTCACATTCTTAATCACGTGTTTATTTTCGTGATATACACACAATAGTATATATATATAAAATACAAAGCATTCACCCAGTTACTACATTACCACACAATATAGCACCATGGAGGAACCGAGCACCAACACTGCAGTAATCATCCACAGCTTTATCTTTTACCATATGACATATGCTGTTCACAATCCCCACTGCCTCTCTCTGCCTCTATACTCCTCAACTAAAGAGCATGCCAGCGTGCACTAAAATTGTACCGAAATACCGCATACACTTCACCCAATAACATGGACTTTGGACTTTCATGTTAGTGAAATGTATCCCGGTGTACCCTGCTGTGCTTACTGTTGTTAGGCTGACCCTTGGCTTCACTGACACGATGCTGGAGAGCTTCCTTGGCAGAGACAAAAAACACTCGCATCTCAGCTTGGTGACCTTGGACAACTTTCAATTCATCTACCAAGAAGGCGATCGTGCGCTCTAAATGTTGTTTGCGCACCTGAAAAAATGGAAATCAGCAATTGTGAATAAATACTGCAGATGGATACTAAAACCTATACAATTATATGTACAGTACTTTATTTAACACTTGGCACATATTTAACTTCTTTGCTACTGAATCAGTCCATTAACTGAAATATAATTTCAGTTATTTTTGATGCTCAAGAGCTTCTGTTTTTAAGTTGATTACTGTATATTTCATTAAGTCAAGCATAGCAGTCAGAAAGTATCAATCATATGTACTGCATAAATAAAAAGAAAACTGAATTTTCAGATCATCTAAGTGCCAAGAGCAATATGCTGTGCAAACATCCACATACTGCTAACATACATGCATAAACAAATAATAAATTAGTTTTTGAGCTATCCCACTTGGTTGCCTATTGACCCCCAGCTAGGATCTCGTGCAGTCAAAAACAGGTCAATATTATGCACCATCACAAAAGGGGATACTTCAACCTTTCCCCACCAAGTCATACTGGTATTAGAGAGACCCTACACCCAGTCCTGCCCAAAGTACAGTCAGAGAGCACATTCATATAAAGCTAAAAACCTTTCAAGCCCTACTTGGCATTGCAAGGATTGCCAAATGGCACCTTTGCACTAGGTTATTATCCTGGACAAAATGACAAACTCCCCCCCCGACCCTAAGCTCATCACATTCTTTCCTGACTGTGACCTGTGACCATAAAGTAGCTGAAACAATATAGACCCGGCTCCCACCATATCAAAGTGAGCAACATACCCTGAAATGTGTGACCAACATAAATGCCTACGTTCTGTTTCAAGTTTGGCACTGCCAAACAGATGTGAATGTAGCTTTTAACTCAAGGTGAGACTTACTGCTGCTGAAGCACTAGTCAAACCATAACAAGAGACAATAACTGTACTGTATACACAATGCTTACAAATACAAAATAAATATCTACTAATTGCACAATCCCACTATCTGTTCTACATGTCGTGGCCCGACATGTAGGAAGTATGTGAGAAAAAGCAGAAACAATGACCTCTGTTTGCATGTGCAGCGTGCCACCTACTGCAAGCTGAGGATGACGACCAAGAGCAACATAGTGAATAGCAAGAACACTGCTAAATAGTGATTGTGATGCCAAGTAATGCTTAGAAGAACTTTGAGTTATTTGATTGAGCCTTTTTATAGGTCCCTTTGGCTTGGACAAATATTCTACTCCTTACTGGGAATACCTAAGTCATATAATGATAAACTGGTATGAGACATATACAGCTATTTCAAATACCTATCTAAATTCAAATGCCCCCCCCTCCCCACCAATAGTTTAAAATATTAGACTCGTACAGCTAAACAATGGGCAACTGTTGTATGTAATTCATAAGCAGTTTAACTCGTTAAATGATCTGGATATCACGTCAGTCTTAGAAAAATAAAATGTGAAACTGTATTAGAGCACCAGCTCTAATTACAGATGACATTTACATCATTATAAAAATACAGATTCATCATTTATTTTCACTGACTACCCACAATATAAAAATACTCTTATACAGTTTAAGACAAAATAAGTGACTACACACAATAAGTAAGCAGAGGTGTATCTAGACAAAAAAAAAAGATGAATAAATAATAGTCATGCACAGAGAGAGAGAGAGAGAGAAAGAGAGAGATAAAGAAACTGCAGCAGTTAAGAGATCCATCAAACAGCTTACCTCACTCTGCCCAGTGTTTGGCTATGGTGCCCAGTAAATCCAGGATTAGTTTCAAGTCACTAATACATTCTAGCAGTTCCTATACATATCCCATAATATACTGTAAATTGTATCAACTTGAAATAAAGAAACCAAAGTTTCTATCGAACATGAAGACTGAAATATTCTTATCTAAACTTATACTATTTTTACAAGCAATCACACACTTATTTGAATTTATTCTACACTGACCCCCAAAATACAATAAAATATAACCATCAGTTGAACTATTGTTCATATGGAGTCCCTTATGTACACCTGTACTTTTAATAACTAATTACAGAGCCAGAGCCACATGTTATGTACTGATTACATTAAGTGAGTGGGGATGTGGTGTAATGTGATTATAAATTACAACTACTGTATCACTCAAGCAGGCCTCTAAAAACAAAAGTCTCATGAAAAAAGATACTGTTTAATTTAGCTCAAATTTAATTCAATGCTAAAAGAAATTTACCAACAATAACAACTTTTTTTCAGTCATGTGAATGTTAACAAGCCTATACAGTACTGTATTTAATACTAGATGCCTTATACTAGTAAGTATCAATTCAATGTGGCACAAAGGAGAAACTCTGAAGTTCTACAGCACAACAATCAATCAATACTAGAACACTGACTAGGTAAAAGCTTATTATCTTTTTCTAACTCAAAATTTAAACCAATAACAAAGTTGTGAAACTGTGCTTTGTGACACAGTTTCCACACAAAAACTTAATGTTTAAGTCATCATCTTTTATGCCAATTAATATGAATACAATACAGCAATTCCCAATGAGATACCAGTTCTGTACTGACAGAAAAGTTCTTGTATCATTATGCTTGATACAGAACACCGTTTCCTTAACTATTTCTTTAATGATGACAAAAGCATATTTCATAAATTTTTAAGCCAGCATAGTTCATTTTGAATAGTACTGTGACACTGAATAGAACATCGAGTATAAATGAACCACTCCTTCCTGGAGGTTACGGACTGAAACGTCGTCGTCTTGGCTTCTGGTGTGTGGTTTAGTCTTCAAATAAAAATATCGTCATGGCAACTCCCACCCTGGAGCAGATAGCAGTGGGGGAACACTGCTGTCAATGCCCGTAAATTGCCTGACTTCTTTGTTCCATCACTGCCAAAGCATGTCACATACAATTTCCTTTTTACTTTCCCACGATCAGGGAAAATCAACGCCATGCTAAGTCATTATGTACATTATAACAATATTTAAAGAAATAATTATGTTGAATTTATTTTTTCCCCTACGCACGACAGGGTTGTTAGGAAATAATAGGGGCACAGCCTGAGGGTTAAATTGTCCAGATTTCTCTTACAGCTAATGATATATAAATAACAAACATAAACAATGACTATTCAATAAATTTACCTGTTAAACCTCTGCACCCACTTTGAACTGGCCTTGACATCTTCAATGTTCAAGGTTTGTGCCATTCTTTCATCTGCAGCTGTAACCGAGCCCCACCGACAACAAATACCAAACTACAATGGGGTGAAAACTGCTGCTAGACAGTATCACCCAAATCCTCATACTTAGGTTTCAATGTTTTTTGTCACAATATTCCTTTTACTCATGGACTACATGGTCTGTTTTTGCTTTTTATAAGCACAGCACTACTAGTATCAAACCCATACTCCTCTAGCAGCCGCTTGATTCCCGAGCCAAAATCCCATTTCTTTAATAACTCGGTATTCTTACTCATGGTAAAAAAGTTCCTTGAAAAAAGTTCAACCCTTGTTGAATAATATGATTTCGCCTTACAAATAATTATATGCCTTATCCAAAGAAACGCTCGAGTAATAAGAGTACAGACCTGGCATGTGTATTCCTTGCACACAAGGAATACACATGAGCAGTATGTATGGCCTCACACTAGGTATGGAAGATACAATTAGTGTTTTATTGCAAGTTCTTCTGTATAATTTATACTACAATACAGGCTTAATAAAACATTTCCAAAATATAGATGCATTGTAGTACTGTATTGTATTTAGAAGATTCAAAAAAAGATTAGCAATAGGTAGAAACTAAACAAATTAAAATTAATATTAAATGACTAACACAATGAACTGACATTTTAGCTCTAACCACTTGCCCCTCTGGTACAGTACAGTATCTAGATTTATTTCAGAGAAATCCGAATTTCAGAGGGTAAATCTGGTAGAAGAATTTGATGTTGTTTAGAGGGATCCATTATATGGAAGTTTTGTATTTTGTGCAGTGTAATTACATGGCAATATATCTTGAAATTTGATGCAAATTATAGCTTACTGCATTATAAAATTTGTCGGGTCTATATATTTCGTACATGCACATGCTAATAAGATGCAGTACAGTATTTATATAAATTTTCTTATTTCACAGCCCACTTCAAAATAATGTAGTGCATTATAAAAGAATAGTCTTGCTCACCTCATTCAAATACTCCGGTTCTGAGGCAGCCATGTCCCATCTGTTCTGGAGGATGAATATGTTGGGTTTGGAAAGTTTTGCAGAAACTTTGTGAAAGAAGTTCTTCTCCTGAAAAGAAATTATACAAAGTTATTGGAAAATATGATTTTTCCATGAATAACACACTTAGTCATACAATACACCAATATACTGGCTATAATTGTCAATGGTTTATATAAACTTCCTTCACACAAAGTATTTCACATCTATTATGTCAATTGTGAAATGTCTGTGTAAGTGTCCTCATCTTAACGCCAAAGACTAACCGCAACACTTCAGAAAACCTATTCCTAGTCATATCTACGAACCTTTTCGCATCATTCTTTACATATTTATAATTTCCATTCGCTAAAACAAATAATTATATATTCTTAAATATTTTTTTCATGTGTACATGAAGACAATGATATTGAAAATATATACAGTACTGTACTTACTGTGTTCATCAACGTAGATTCTGAATTTGCAACCAACACAAAGACATCAGCATCCAGGCAGTGCTTGTCAATCCAGTCATCTAAGCTCTCGGATACATCTATGCCAGGAGAATCGACGAGGACAACGTCATCCCTCAAGAGTGGGCATCGGGTTTTAGGCCAATGAATGCGTACAAGAGTCGAGTCGCCGAGTCTATTGTTGCAGAGTGCATGAGCCAACTGCCCAATACCCTTAATATTCTGTTTCTCCGAGGATCCCTCAGTGGTAAGGTAAGGCTCCTGGGAGTCTATCCCTTCAATCTACCAAAGATATGTTATAAATGTACAGAACACCAAAACACAATACAGGTTTAATATTTTTTTTACAAAACTTTAAAATATTTAAGCAAAAGCACTTACAAGAACCTGACTAGAAAAACAAGTTCAGGCTATAATGAAAGTATCCATCAGATAAGAGCTTAAGTATCTTTGATGAAATGGATAGCATGTCATACCAGGAAGTCTCCCTAGGACTTCACTGTATTAGCATTCAGCTTGGGACGCTACTGAGCGAACACTCAGAAAAGTAGGCAAAGTTCCCTTCAGAACAACAAATACATGACTAACCTGTAAAAAGCAGTTAGTGGTATGTCCAATGCCTGATGGCAGGATCTTGTCGCCCATCATGGCATTAATAACAGAGCTCTTTCCGTTGGATGTTCGTCCAAAGAATGCCACCTAATAAGAGAAATTGTAATAACACCATAATTAAAAATAACAAAATTCATTAATATTTTGTTTTGTTTAATACTACAATGATGTAGTGTATTGCTTAAATATTCTGGTCTCCACTGAGTGTTATTCTGTATTAAATGTACTCCAGCATACAATCTAACAGACACATTCGGAAAAAAAATTGTTGTGCCGCCGGTGCAGAAAATCAATTTGCCCTGACAATGCATAATCCTGTCCATAGGATAAGTAGGACATTGGTTAAAAAAGCATCAGAATAGTACATCTAAAATAAAAAAAATAAAAAACTCAACATTGCAATAATACAAAGCGTTCTGAAAACGTTCCGAAAACGAATAACTGAAACGTTCCAAGAGGCATCTACTTACCTTCATGTGGTCTCTTGCCAGAACCTCTTTAATGCCTGCCACTTTGGCACTATAAGCCTTAAAATCTTGAAGGTCTTTCTCTCCAATAAGCCCCTTGTCATTATGTACTCCTGTCAACATAAGAGAGATCTTGAGTAACTTGACACTATATGACACAATGAGTACTGTATTGTGCAGTTCCATTAAAATCTATTCCACATGTCCTTTCCAAATGTTAATTAATAAGCAAAATGCTGTCACACATGACCTATGTATTTACTTTTCTAGATAGCTACAGTAACTATATATTTACTGCATGTGAATCAAAATGGTCTTTATTAGACAAATTTAGAAATAGTATCTACTAACCTTCGATGAAAAGTGTGGCTTCTGCAACATACTCCTCGATCTCCTGATAAATATCATTGATCTTCTTCTTGGCTCGGACAAATATCTGCAGGGGGGAGGAGGTAGTTGACTCCCTTAAGTGCCGTGCTCCTATCACCCCTACCAATGAATCCCGCAACGCCGTGCCACCTCCCCCCCCTCCACTGTCTCCACTCCCACCTATTCCAGCTGCCCCCCCAAAGTACATTGTTCCACCATTCATCACGGAGGCCGACCGGTTAAGCACACTCGACATGGTACACCAACGCCCTCAACTGAAACAAAAAAGCAAAATAATTTACCAAAATAAAATATAAATTAAAACGTTTTTGTGCCAGTCTAAATGCTACGTATATATTCCAAGCTACATAATATTTTAACAACAGTTAAACTACTGGTTCTATACACTGTATACAGTACTATAATATATAAATATTCATTAAGATTTATATAATACACTGTACTGTATAAAGTACTGTAATATATAAATATTCATTAAGCTTTATTAATTTAAATTTATGATCCTGAATCGTATAGGAATTTCAACAATTTGCAGCCCCCCCTCATTTCAACAAGAAAAATGCAAAAACATGCATGCAAGCAAGAAAGCACTGTGGCAACATAAACTCTACTGAAAGCCTAAAAATTTGAAGTACATACAGTAATTTGTTTCCCTTTCTCAACACTTATTTCTGACTGCTCTAATTCTTTTATCATATATAAAATAAAAAGAAAAACTGTCCCCTTAGCACAAAAGCTCTAATAGAAACTAGCAAAGTGGCAGAGAACAATTACAGTACGTACAGACTCGCGACCTATTACTTCAAGTGCCGTTTCTTGGTCATTAGCCGACATGTAAAGCTACTCTCACACTTGTTCATTAACGTAAGAATTTAAGAAAATCACCTCTTTGAGGGGAAATATTCTTGGCCTTTATTCTGAATAAGTTAGAGGTGTCAGAGGCCTTGTGCAAGCTTCCCTAAGCCATGGTACAACAAGTGCCTCACTCGGGGCAGCCCATGGGGGCTCTCCATCCAGAGAAGGCTGTACAGTACCAGTATTTTATATTTAAATTATGACTAAAATACATAAAGTCTTTGGTAAGTATAGTGGCTGGTTGTACAGTATTTAAGACAGTATACTATCATTGGTAATATTAATGTTCTGGTATTAAATTAGACTAATAATTATATTCCTTCATGGCACACATGAAAATAGCACACCTTTTTTCATGGGAATGAAATAAAAAGGGAAAACGTAAGTAAAAAATTACTTTGGTGATTATGCTTATTGGTTGTATCTAATGATGATATTTCATGTCTTGGAAACACCCAAGACCTGGTATCGCATTATTTGAACCATATTTTCTATTACACAATGGTAATTTTTTTCTTTTTGGTATGAACAAATCTGCATTCTATTGGACTAGATAGGAAGTTTTTCTTCAAGAAGTTTTTCTTTCTTTTCTTCTTTTCTAACAAGTACAGCCAATTGTACAATATAGCATTAGTTTTTTACCTATTTTCTTTCCCTCAGTGGAGTGGGGGGGAGGGAAATATTAACAAAAATAAAGCCATAGCAAAATAGTTAATTTAATCACACATATAGCAATAACTGACAACATCCAAAATCTCAATACAGTATTTAGAATGACAGACTAGTCTTGAACAGACATCACTTAAATATTCTTTTATTTGTAATCTAAACATCAACTCTGTAACTAGTTTTTAAACGCAAATATTATAATCAATTCTTGTTCTAATTTACAGAACAGTTTCTGTGGAACAGTTATCTAATGGTTTCCCAGTGTCAGGAACAGGGAGCCTGCTATCCTCAGTAGGGGTTTTCTAAGCCAACTCAAATTCTCCTCAGGATTCAACCCACAACAGTTGCCTAATATCTATGTACTTATTTACTGCTGGGTGAACACACACACCTGGTGAAAGTGAAACCGTCTCTTGCATGATTAGCATGATAGCTACCCCTCTTACCCACCTGGGTCGAGTCTTTTAGTTTACAAAACCCCAAGGCAGATTTAAAGAAAAAAAAATACTTTTTTGCTTAATGTGGGCCACCTTAGTTAGATATTTCTTTTTAAATTTAAACCTGCAATTTTTTATCTATTGATTAAATAGATAAAAACCAGTTTGTTTTTTTACCAACCCTAATCTCTCTTCTCACCAAGACAAAACTGTCTTGGTCTTGTTGGGTCTTAAACCCAATATTGTTTGGTTGTGAACTGACTGTTCTGAATATTTTTTCCTGTAATACTTTTCTTTACATGCTAAGAAAAATTTGTTACCAGAATTCCAATACCATAAACCACAACAGAATGTGTTAAAAAAAATAAAGGAAAAAATCATAGAATAATTATAAAAAAGAGAGCATTGGTGGCCATAGGTACAAAACACGATCCATCTAAATTATTATTGAAGTGTTTATCATCAACACAACATATTGATTTTGTACAGTATTTTCATACTGTACAAACATTCACAGTAAGAAGGTGCCTGAAAGTTTCACAAATTAGGACCAGGCTTTGCTAATCTGATAATTTCAAACTAATTATAAATCAGTCATACAGTACAGTCAACCTAATTAAAAAATCCAAAAAATACTGTACTAGATCAAATTAAATGCTCCGCAACTTATTGCAGATTACTAGTATCGACATTTGCCTGTCATTTTACTGTAATGCATTGACAATGTCAAGGCAGTACAGTATTGTATATGATTAAAATTTGTGTACGAGTCTGACCATCAACATGGAACATGGGGATAAATGTTATATGCCATTTACCCCTATTTTGGAGCATACTGTAATGGTCCGGGTCTACTGGAGAGTACAGGATGCTAAAGCCACAGCCTCACACCATGAGGATCTGGAGTCTGATCTCACTGTGCTGCTATGCAAATATTTTACAAGAAAATATTTTATACACTAAAATAATCAAATTTAGAAAATTATGTAAAATGGGAACATAAATGGTTCATTGAAAACAATTAAGTTTCATTCTGATGAGCTGTACTTTGTATGTGGTAGAGGGAGTTGGAGGCTCATTGATATGGACAATGCACTACTGACTCGGGAAGAACTTATTGCCCAGTCAGACAATAACATGAGAAACATTAAGGTAAGCTAATCCACGTTACCAAACTAGAATGATCCTGTACAGTATCTAAAAATACAAAACACACAATTATAATTTAAGATAAAACTTAAGCTTAATGCATGCAAAAATCTTTATACTATATCAACTATATTAGTAATGTAATAAAACAACTATCAATTCTAGTTGCAGCTATATCAAAATATTACCATGTAGGGATTTCTGATAACTATGAATTTGTGAAAAAAGTAATTGCTTAAAAATAATTAAAATACTATATACAGTATTGTTGTATTGTATATGTATGTATGCATCTACACGTGTATATGAATGTATGTGGTGTGCATATGTGTGGCGTGCATGCGTGTGTGCATGCACGTATGCATATATGCATGGCTGTCAGTGTGTGCACATGTACTCACCTAGTTGTGCTTGTGAGGGTTGAGCTTTGGCTCTTTGGTAATGTATGTATGTATTTATGAATGTATGTATGTATGTATGCTGTACCTAATAGGTCGAGTTGCCCAAGAAGCCAAATTTTCTTTAAATATTATACTTTTCAAATATTTTTTTCTTATAGAAGGATACAGCTTTCCATTACATTACATATGTTTTTTTTTTACTTTCATTCAAAACTAACAATAGAAATTTGATCAAACCTAACTTATCCTAACCTCACTTAACATAACTAGGTCAGTAAATCATCTTCCTAATATAATTGGTTCTTTTCTAACAATAATAATCTATCTCTGGAAAGAAATACTGGACCTGTAGTTAAAAATAATGAAAATCATTTTGCCTGTTAGGCAAACTGGACCTTGCTCTCTAGGCCAAGTAGTGCAGTTCTGGCTCTTAGGCACAACATACATACAAGTAATAAATGATTTGTTTAGATTTGATACTAAAAAGAATCTTTAGCAAATAGAAATCTCACTATTTGAACAGCTCAAATTAATTATTATATGACAGGCTTCAATCCAAGAAAACTTATAAAAGATATATTTTGTAGCTGCCTTAATAAAATTTGCAACTCCTGCAAATGATATCAAACGGATAGGGAAAATTAATGAGGAACAGTACCTCTGTTCCTCTCAGCTGTTCCTAACAGCTGACAACCATGGGGATGTAAATATTGTATATTAAACAATGAGAAAATAATTGACTAATCTTGAGTACTATGACATTCCAGATATAGAGGGGTAGAACACAGGCCCGATCATACCTGGTGTTTAGGATGCATTCTGTCCTGAGAAGCAGCTGCAAGTAATTTACCAAATTAGTAATTGTTGGGAATATATTAACTACAGCTCAAGCACTGCAGAAGAACCCTTCCCTATAGAACAGCAGATCTTAACTTTTTTGAGAACAGTTCTATTTTCAAATACAGTACTCAAAAAACCCTCTATGGGGTTGCAACCCACCAGTTGAAAACCACTGCTATAGCTCTCCTGCAAGCCTACTACATGCCCTGTATAGTTCACACTGATGTGGCTGTTCTACGCTATTTAGAAAAGCAGACCATATTAATTAAAAACTTTATAACAAAAATTAAACGTACATTGTAAAATATTCCACAAAAATATCAGGAATTCAAGTTGAAACATGGAAGATATCTAATATACAATTGGACTAAAAATAATGTTTTCCCCATGGTATGCCTAATTATCTGCAAATAGTTCTAATTAATTTATTCTTTGTTGCTTTCAGTCTGATGTGGGATCTATTACCTCGGTAATACCTCAGATCTGGGTCTCGGCCCCTAAATGCTAAGCGTCTAAGTGAAACCAACACCAAACGTACAAACAAACTATGCTATCCTGTATATTAATATTGCATCTTAAAGCTTTGAATGACCCACGAACCAACACACTGAATATGGGATTCAACTGAATCCGCAAAGGAGGGTCAGAGGCATCGAGCTGATACTAAGTCAAGGTTTTACACATTACCCATGTACACTTTGATATGGTATAGGAATTCTTCTCCTCAAGGCTCACTTCAAATGCACAAAGAAATCACATTAATGCAATGTATCGATGAGACAACCAGTTGGAGCCATGAGGAGTATGCCCAGTGTGGAGGTTCAAATTTTCCTCATAGCTCTGATTTTCTCATTGATACATCAGAGTAATGTGATTTTTTTGTGTATTTAAAGTGAGCCTTGAGGAGAACTCTTATACCGCACCAAAGTGTACATGGGTAATATGCTCCTATACCACACCGAAGAGTACGTAGGTAATGTATCAAAGCTTGACGTGGTATCAGCTCCATGCCCGAGACCACCCCCCTTGTGTATTTAGTCAAATACCAGGTTAGATTCCCTATGTGATAACATGGTACAGTGGTCTAAGGCGTGTGCTTGGGAGCACCCAGCGAGCAGGTTCAAATCCTCCTCATGGCATCAACTGATTTCCCCAACTTTTATTCATATTAAATTGTAGCTACTAGTATTTACTGTAATGAGTAAATTGTACATACATACACACAATGTTACAACTCGCTGTACCTTTTGTACTCAAGAGTTAGGCAACTGACTTTCAATAAGCTTAACAGGCTTCCACTCCTTCACAATGGGAAACCAAAACCAATTCTTAACACCTGTAGCTTTGCCTGTTTAAACTTTATGATGCAATGTTTTGACTTTGAAAATCCAAATGAGATAACAGTCATAGCTCGCTTCTCCAATACAAGAAACAAGTAACAATGTGTCTTATTTTGTATCTGGCATTACAGACCAATAAGGAGGTCTCCCCTGGTGAAACTTTTTGTTAAAACCGACCAGTTTAGAAGGATAAGATGATACACAAGGCAGAATCCAGATCACCCATCTACAATAAGATTCGTTAATATCGCAACCAAAATGAACGCATTTAGGCCAATTTATGGACTATATATATAGTGATTTTCATATACGGGGTCATATACAAGCTTTAACACGGGACTCACTAAGCATCTACAACACGGCTATTACAACACAGGCATCGATATGTTTAGGCGTGATGCATCCCCCACACACCCCAAGCCTCTAGCCCACCTCTCTCTCTGCCTTCTAAGCCACCGGGCTCGTGGCTGGGATGGGTTAGTGACCCCCCGCAGATCACAGAGTAGTCTTGTCAGCGTGGGAGGCTGCAGAAACAACAGGGTAAATGGGTGGAACTCACGGAAGGTCTTCAGCATTCGCCGACGGCAAGACGAAAACACATGATAATGGCGACGCCCCAAGACAAACTTCCACCCGCGACCGTCTTCAATTGTATAGGGCAATGGAAGGAGCAAGATATACTGGAATATGTCCTGAAATGAACATAAATGCCGGAAAGGTTATTATTGAATACGTGTAGGCGACTCCCTAACTGACTTTTGGTTATAGGTTTGCAGAGGCATTATAGAAAAAGAGTATTTTTGCGCATATTTCACATTGTTCAGACAATATACTTGGGCTTATTATTATTTTGCAAATTGGTGTTTTTGTACTTTGAGGTGTATATTGTGTCAATTTATAGTTAACCATGCACATAATTTTTAAGAATAATTATGCCTGAACGTAATCAAATTTCCGTCTGCAGCCTAATTCTACTTAATTTTTAATTATTTGCATAATTTGGCTTAATAGTTTATAACGCAATGCACTCATAAAAATATGCTTAAGTAATGCATAATTAAATCTACATGTAAGATGGGTAAAAAACTTGGGGGATACTTTCACCGGCACCAGCCAACACCTGCTTATATTTACTTCAGTCACTTGTATACATCCGTCAGTATCATAAACGAAACGTAATAATTATGACCGCATACCTAAGAGCTACAGTAGACATATCGCAGTGCATTATAACCTATTAAATAATTTGTAGGACAAAAAAAAAACAAAGTTTGTTTTGGTTTGCCTGGGAGAGCATGTCATACACCAGCTGGCTTGATGGCGGCAGACGACGTCGGCGAGTTAAATCATGTCCAGGTTATTGTTCATGGGTTGGTCTTGTCCAGCTGGAATTTGTTATGTTAGGGGGGTCACAAGGATGTTATGGGATAGTATGCTTATTGTAGGAGGGTAATGGCCAAGGTACTGTATGGTAGGGTATTAGGTCATGTAGGAAATTTGTAGGCCCTCTTGCTGTTCATATTTTACTTCTGAACTCCAAAATTTAAATTTATTGTATCTTGCATAAATATAAATATCTAGCTGACTGACAGCTCTGAATCCTTAGGAGTAATAAAGTAATTTTTGACACCTTTCCCCCTACCTTTCCCCTCGAGGGCATTAGAGATGGTGGCTTTCAAGTAAATTACATTTGTATAAATTTTATTTGCCATCTCTGACTTTTTGTTCCATGCGTCTTCAGAGTGCAAAACCAGAGAATGAGCATTGGTTTCTAAGGAGTAATTCTAGAATTACCAGAATAATGAATGCACCAGTATACCTAATTAAAACAAAAATAGAATGTTGGATTGCAGTTTGAACTGCATTTTACACTACAATATTGGGATACAGTACAGGACAAATGATCTCTGCTGCCCATATAGTGTCATGTTTATACTGCACAGCTCCCCATGAGCATGTATCCATATAGCACTGTACTATTGACCTGTGTGTAACATATCTACAATCCAAGTGTCAAGTAGGGATACATTATTGTTATAATTCTTGAATTACTTGGGAGAAGGCATTTCACATTCTCTTATGTGGCTGCATGTGTGTTTTAAAAAACACACAGGGCATTTATTTGGAATAATTTCAACGAGGGCAAAGTTGTTTTAACAAGGCTATTGTAATGTAGTACAGTACAGGTACTTTCTAATTTGTCTCTCTCAGAAATGATGTGTAAATTTAAACCTTGAAATGGGTGGAAGAGCAAGGTATTATTTATTATTATTTATTTATTTATTATGCACCCCATACCCATCCCATGAGTGGTGGTGAAAAGGGTTACAGAGCCACATAATCGGTTCAGGAACTGAACCCCCATATTTTGTTTAGCTAAAGAAGTGACAATCTTTTGAAGCTTGTTAAACAATTGTTAATTAATGTTACATACACATGTTCATATAAATACAATCATTTACACAAATACATATACATATCAATAATATTATATATCAGAAGTGTTTGAACAAGAGGCTCACAAGTCACTATACCAGGCACTTTACATCTATGGCGAGTTTCACAGTTGCTAGTCTTGCTCCACACCCACCCAACTGGTATGAGATATAAATTTCACTTGGAAATGTTGGAAAGTTTAGTTAAGATTCCTATTTGCATATACCATGCAACATTTATTCATCTTGAATAAAGTGATCAAGATTGAGTAGTGGATCTATATTTGTTCCAAGTACTAATCCCACTTTCTCTTATCTTCAACCTCCCAAAATATAATCAATTATATTTTTACTTATTTATTTTAATTTCAAAATAACAAAGATTTTTTTATCAGTTTTATTCCACTTTCTGTACTCTTAACCATGAAATTCATTTCAGAATTTTAATTCAGAGCAATAATGGTTATACAGTACTGCCAAAATACAAGTAATAATTTTATTTATGTGGCATCATTGGGTAAATTACACTGCACTAACACTCCCAGTTAGAGTTGCCTGGTTTACAAACACAGGGTAATGACTAAATTTTTCTGTAACCCATTTTTTTCCTTAGGTTTTTTACCATTTCTTAATGGTGTACTTGATTGTTATTTCTAGTATAACTAATGCAGTATGATAGTCATTCATAATTTACTTTTGATATTTACAGACATTAAAAGCTGCAATACATTTCACAGTAGGGCGAACCTGTGAGGAGATTGGTGTCGAGTTGGGGTTGTCATTTTCAAAGCATGTGATTGCCACCCTCTCAGAAATTACCTGCAAACAGCTAGAGACTTACTCAGCTGACCTTGAAGCCTTTGCAAAGTAAGGAAATAATAACATTCTTTTTACCAAGTGATAAAATTTTGAAACTATTAATTTTATCTTGTGTTTACCTGTATATGGTGTATACATTTATGGTAATATACAGTACTGTACTATACTGTATATAGATACCTATATTGTACAGTATAATGCTAGTTACTTATTTTACATCCATCACATGCAATTTCCATGTGTAACCCCATTCCATGTTCAGGATCTCATTGAGTATGAAACATTTTCAGGCTGGTAGCTCACATCTTTAGTATTCAGTGAATGACATTATGGTAAATCATTGGTGGCATTTCAAGTTAGATATTTAATATAATGTGACAAATATTGCCAGTAGTTTTAAAGCATTAAAGGACATACTTAGCAGGTACTAATTACCTGCTAATTATATTAATCATATTACTAGCAGGATAGCATTGATTCTCATGTGTTGATTGTTGTATAAGGCTGTTTTGCCTATTACAGTATGTTGATTATAGTGTAGAGTAATTATGAACATGGGGGCTTGCAGGGGAGTATGACTTGTAGTGTAGAAAATAATGAAGGGTGTAATAATCGTGAATGGTACTTGATGAAAAACTTGAGATAAAGTCTTTAAACAATGGAGAATACTTGCGGTGAGACATGTTTGATAGCCAAACACCTGGTTCTTGTAATTGCCAAGTCACAACAAATTGATGAAGTTGAGACAGCCAAAATTATTTTTTTTTTTTTTAAATCAGAACAAGGAAAAATACCGAGCTGTACTGTAATGTACTTTTTGAAACTGTAAATGCAAGTGTATTAAAGTAGGATTCACATTTCTATTAAATTAATATGATAAGACATGGTAAACTATAAAGGCTAAACAATGATACCTCTTGTGCTAATTTTCAGTCATGCACGTCGAGCAGTCATCAACACAGATGATGTGAAACTTCTTGTTCGTCGAAATCCTGATCTGGTAATTATTTTGGATTGTCTATCTTTGTCCTTGATGATGTGTTCTTTGTGAAATAAACTGTGCTACAGTATTACCGTATATTTTTTTAGTGAAAAAGTATAAATTTATTGTATTTTGAAATTTTTTATCACCTTATTATCATTACATTAAGAATACATTTATTGCATGGTAGAGCACAGTATAGTACTCAATTTTAGGTGATTTATCAGCAAAATTTCCTGAGCATGAAGGCAGCATTAGTCTAGATGGATACACATAGAAAGAGATGTGAAAAATAATAGGAATGTAATGTAGGAATTATTAAGGAATGCTGCATCAAACAACCAAATGGGATGGCATGTGAATGTGCCTTCAAGTCCTACATCTCAGAGACAACTTTAATTGAATTTAATGCTTCTCTTGGCAGCTTTTGATAATTACGACTGTCGGCAGTTGAAGCTTACCTACATACATAAATAATTTATTTTAACTAATGTAAGTTTACATACAGTATTTTATATTCATAATTAATTTGCACTTGCAGACTAAACATATTAAAGAAATGGCAGATAGCATGGAGCAAGCCTCAGGGAAGGAGCGGAAGAAACGAGGAAGAAAGCCTAAAAATGCTGAATCACCTGCAGAAGCCTCTGAGCAAACCACTCCTTAACTTCAGATATTACTCAGTAAAATTCAAAGCTATATATTTATACCACTGCCTATTCTTGAGGAGAGGTGATGTCCTGTTTGGTCATTGATAAGATCATTGCATGGCAAATAATGTTTTACAAATGTGATCTATCATTATTTAAGAGATAAGTGTAGGATTGTACGTGATGTGTGTTACTTGGGTATTGTCTGTAATAATTGTAATGTATTATAGTTTGGCTATTATTGCCCTAGAAAAAAATTAGTTGCAAGCCCCAGCTGGGAATAATATTGTAATGAATACGTATCTATTTTTTATAACTCTTGTTTAATTTAGCCTACAAAGCCTAAATTCTGGTATTTCTATTGAGTTTTTAACAATTTGTGCGTAAAGTTTTAGCCGAATGGCTGCCAGGGCCTGATGTGCCTCAAGTGTTCAAGCTCAGGAAAATATATTCTGCTAAATAGCACATTAACAGATTTTCATGTAGAATGCCTAAACATAAGCTTTGGAACTTGCAACAGAGGAGAAGCAACTTACTATCCTTGAACCATTTAAAGGAGGCACCATTCCATCTTGCATTTAGATATTATTTACTATTGCAAGATAATGAAATACTGTGCAATGTAGTTTGATAGATTGAATTCTTATGATTTCTGGGGAATAAATTGTTGCCTGTGCTATTTACCATCTTTGCATTCAGGATGTACATAACTGTAGACAAGTTAAATTAAGGAAATTAGTGCTGTATCTTGATTTATTGCACAATGAAGCTGATCATTTGCTTACGTAAGGGGCAACATTTAATTAATTTTCATCTACACTTGTGCTTCTTTTTAACTAGTACAGTATACTATTGTATATATATACAGTACAATACTTCATTTCAAAATAGTTTTTGTCATTTGCAGTACTGTATATCCCTTGTGTTTCTCACAGCTTCGTTAAAAACATTCACTTGTACTTTCTGGGAGAGCGCCTTCGGTAGCTCCTGGAACTTTCTTGCAAAACCTCACCAGGCCTTTGAGACCTACCTGTTGCATACTGCAAAGCACGACCAGAATCTTACATCCAAGTGGGTATAAAAAAGTATTGAAAACCTATAAGGATCAATTGCAAATGGTGATTTAAGCACAGAAGGAAATTGCAGATAGTGATTGGAGAAGTGTAAGAACCAGGCAAAGAGAAGCTTGGAAAAACTCGCCAGAAAGCATATATGTAACAGAAAAGGAGACTGTTTGAAGGAAATCTCCAAGTAAACAAGGCAAGCTGTCATTGTGGCAGGGTAAATATTGATGTACCTGTCACCAGATAGCAGGTCCAGGTCACCTGAAGTCTCAGCCAGCCTGTCCCTGCATTCTTTGGCCTGGTGTCAACAGCTCTGCCCCTGTTGCTTCTGCAGGCCTGTCATCAGCTTCTCACTTTCAGTTAAGTGGTACTGGCTTCCCCTGTAACACTGAATATTTAATTGCCAATAGTTCCCCCCCGTCAATGAAAATAAAAAAATTACTTTGTGCTGTATCGAAAAAAAACATTGGTAGTATCTTGGACAACATAAAGGTGCATGGTAAGGGTTAATGATACTATGAAAGTGGTCATTGCATTTTTATTATATAAAAAAAGACAGGGTCCAGCCCTGAATAATAATATTAAAACATTAAATTAGAATAAATGTTAGGAATTAAATAAAATTACTTTGTATAATAACATGTTAAAAGTATTAGTACCATTAGCAAACACTGAATAATAGGTACAGTATACTGTATATAAAATATTTGCCTATAATTTAAAAAGCTTTAAAAGGAGAGGGTTGTGGAGTGGTGTCGAAGGGTTCATGTCGAATAAAGGTTGTGAGAACAATTAAGAAAGCTCACAAGCAGATTATAAAGGAAGGGAAGGAAATTATCAGGGAGAGTGCCAAGCCATTACGACTATATCACTTGGAAGGGATCGGAATAAGGATCTGGGATGGAACCAGGAGGGGGGGAAGGGGAGGAATGGTGCCCAACCATTTGGACGGTCGGGGATTGAATGCCGACCTGCATGAAGCAAGACCGTCGTTCTACCGTCCAGCCCAAGTGGTTGAACAGATTATAAAGGAATTGAAAACATTTTTATAAACAGTTTGTATATATATTGTTGTCGATTTTTTTGTATTTGAACCTTCCAAATTAAAGATGCCAAATTAGTGTAATTAAAATTCATTCTCAACTCGCAACACATTGACTAGACACTTGTATGTTGTAACCATTGACCACCATAATAGGTAAGTACCATATGTGAAGCTACAAAACTGTTAGCAAGTCTAAAGTGCAGGAGAAAGTAATATGTCATTGAAAATTAAAACAAAACATTTACCATGGCAGCTACAGATTTTTCAATTATATTAGCCATTCATTAATAGGATTTAAAAACTACAGTATAAATACTGAGAAATTCTTCGATATGAAAGGCAGTGGCCAGTGGGCTCATTTCAGGTAAAAGCAGCTCCCTCTGCAGCAAATAAAAATTAGGATCGAGGTAGTGTGGTGGCGAGAGATTTTTCAGTGTCTCGTACTCCAACCAGCCTAGCTTAATTTGCACTAATAATAAAGTAGAAGGTATAATAGCAATTGGCACACTAGGCAGAGGTCAACCAACAGCCTAATGAGGTACATCTGCTGTAAAACCGTGGTCGGGATGAGCAGAGTAGTTGACCACCTGAAGTTTTCCGTCTTTATCATAAAAGCCATAGCGACCATGAACCTGGCCATTCCCGTCTCGCTCTTCGTACCGGAACTGCCGGTTATGCCTAAGGAAAAAAAGAAATAGCATAATTTTGAACCATTTACTAAGGGGGTAGTTATTATGTAACTTTGTTAGGTATTGTACAGTTGCCAAAAATCGGGTGCCGATTCTTCAGACGTCATGTATCCCGACTTCAAGATATTTAATTTATTCAGTATTTTAGTATAAGGGACGAGAGGCATACATGCAAAATTTTCTTCTCCGAAAAATGAATGTTATCACATATCCTTAACACCAAAATGACACTTGGTTAAGCAGATGAGATCAAACTTAACAATGTGTACTGGCTCCACAAATTATTAATATAATAGCTGACTAAACAAGTCAATTATCACCACCATAAAATTAAGAAATTAGCTTGTGCAAGAGCTGCCTGCCTGTTAATATTTACAGTAAATAAGTAAATTTAATTAGTACATATTTAATAACTACTGTTATTTACGGTACAGTAAATAACTATTGTTATTTTCTACTGTAAATAAATACATTTATTTATTGCTGTAAATAACTACTGTTATTTACGACAAACGAGTAGTTAAATAGTGTATATGAAATATTAACAGCTGGAAAACCAGCAAAGTGGCAATGAAAGCATTGCAATCAACTAATGTGGTTAAGGATCATATCTGTGTTTAAAGATAAGGATGTGGTTACGAATAATGATACACTATATCATGAAAATACAGTACTACAAAAAAAATACCGGTAGTACAGTCGGGTTCGTTTTCAACTCACAATGGAGAATCCCGGGTTCGAGTCCCGGGCGGGACAGAAATGGTTGGGCTCGTTTCCTATCACCTAATGCCCCTGTCCACCTAGCAGTAAATAGATACCCAGGAGTTAGCTTGTTGTAGGGTTGTATCCTCGGGAAGGTCAGTAATTGGACCCTGATGAGACCTCGATATAAGCCTAACATATAGTGTCTGATAATGATATTGAAGCTTTACAAAGAGATTAGAAACCTGCCCGAAAGGCTGCGCGTATTAGTGGCTTTACAAGATTGTAATTACTATACTATGTATCCTCACAATCCCAATGTACCTTCTTGTATATATATAAATAAAATAAATAAATAAATAAATAGATCTATATGAACTCCACAAATGGTCAGAAGACTGACAAATGCTTTTTAATATCGACAAATGCATGACCCTGCATGCGGGCATAACAACCCACGACTTTCAAATTAATAGCATTACATGATAGCAGATTGATGAAGAGAAGGGGCCAGATTCACGAAAGCACTTACGCAAGTACTTACGAACGTGTACATCTTTCCTCAATCTTTGACGGCTTTGGTTACATTTATTAAACAGTTTACAAGCATGAAAACTTGCCAATCAACTGTTGTTATTGTTATAAACAGCCTCCTGGTGCTTCGGAGCTCATTAACTGTTTAATAATTGTAAACAAAGCCGTCAAAGATTGAGAAAAGATGTACAGGTTCGTAGGTGCTTGTGTAAGTCCTTTCGTGAATCTGGCCCAAGGAACTTAGAGTCAAAATCCACCACTCATTAACAGTTGCACAACATGTGGGTGCAGCAGCCAGAAAAGCAAACCAAACTCTTGGGATAATCAAGCGTACTTTTGACTATAAGGAAAAGAAGGTAATAGTTCAACTGTATAAGTCTGGTGCGCCCCCATTTGGATTACTGTATCCAAGCATGGAGGCCTCATTTTCAGAAGGACATAGCTGCTCTGGAGAAGGTGCAACACCGGGCAACAAAAGTCATTCCAGAGCTAAGTCATCTCCCGTATCAGGGACGCTTAAAGGCCACAGTGCTACCAACACTGCAAACCTGGCATGACAAGGCAGATCTCATTGAAACTTTTAAAATGCTGAACAAGTTAGAGGATGTTGATCTGGATATTTTCTTCAGGTCAGATGCAACACAAACAAGGAGCAACGGTTTCAAGCTCGACAAGCCACAATGTTGGACTGAGAACGGGAGATGCTTTTCCACACACAGGGTTATTAACATATGGAACTCCCTACCCGCCGTAACTGCCAAAATTGTGTTGAGTTTTAAAATATACCTAGAAAAGATCAAGGCAAATGGGGGAGATTTTAGACAAGCCGCCGGCTTCCTGTCCTCGTCGAGGCCACTAGGATTAGTGGTCCTCAGGTAAATCCGGTATGTATAAACTGGCTGCCTATCCCCCAACACAATGAATTATAAATTGAATTCAAATCCACCACCTCAACACTAGAGCACTATTCTGGAGTTACTGTTCTATACAGCCACCATAGATGGCACCTCTGCAATCGTGTTTCAGACCTAAATTTTATTGAATAATCAAGTAACTCAACAAAATGTCTAGTCCCTGAATTGATTTACAGGCTATTCATGCCCATGCCACCTCTTGGGTGGCTTGATCATCATCAATCAATCAAGTGTGCTCCTCGTATCAGCACGTCTTAGCGATGAATGATAATGACATTATCCATAAACAAATCTGTAATTCTATGGGTTAAGAATATAATGTGACGACTTTATAGACCAATTAACTCTTATTTCCAGTCTAAAGTCACATCTTTGCCATGGTTTAGCTGGAGTGCCCGGTTGAGACCCCGGCCTAGTGAGAGAAGCGCTCTCACAGCCCGGGTACCAATGCTACCTCACTTTCTTACGGGAATACATACTATCTCCAAACTTTCACCGATGGAACCAACTATTTGAATAATTTTAATAAAGAAACTGCACATGATTTCCAATGTGACTTGCAAGACTTGCCCCCAAAGTGAAGTGGAAAGCGCCACCCTTCACGCCATACTAACACGGGATGACGGGGCTTGCTCCACACTACAGATAATGGCTCTCTAACCACGTTTATAACACTTCATTTCTATTGACAAAATATTTGCACAAGAATCTGCACGTCTTCCTCGATGCTTGATGTAACATTAGCATACGGCTTTCACTCCCTGGGACCGTAAGTAAACATTATACTTACGCAAGTATTTTGTCAGTAAACCCTTGCGTCAGCTTACGCAAAGGTTTACTGACACAAGAGTTATGACCTACACAAGACCACCACACCAAGATTTACATTTACAGCTGTGAATCATTTGCACATTACCATCACAGTATTCAATTACATTGTTCCACTTTCAGTCTCTCAAATCATTGTTAATTGGTCTGATTTTCCGGAGGATTGTGATTTTTGTGCATTCTCACTCTGCGTATGTTCTCGCAGACACTCAAAAATTCTCGGTGACTATGACATCAATCATCTTATGTCTTTCTACGCTTGTACTGGCATTCTGAATGATAAAGAAACTATTGACTATTCGATGAGATAGTGTTATAAGGTAATACTGGCCTGGCGCTCTTTGTTAATTGTTTAAACAGAAGACAAGAGCAATAGTTTGAATATTTCCTGCTTCTCAAACACTAAGAGCATCACCCCGTTCCCCTTTGGTGGTACTCAGCCCCTACCTTTCCTTGGTGGCCCTCAACCCCTACCCCCTTGATGGTACTCACCCCACTATCTACCCCCTGGTGACACTCAACCCCCGCCCCTCTGGTGGTACTCACCCCTTGCCGGTGTCGTAGCCGAAGCGGTAGGAGTGGGGTCCCTGCTGGCCATGGATCTGGAAGGACAAGCGTCCCTCTCCCTTGCCGCTCTCCACCACCGAGGCGTCAGCCACGAACTGTAAGACCAGGAAAGTGGGTACAGGTCCATGCGGGCACAGAGGCATGTGGGGCCCTAAGTTAGGCGAGTACATTTGTATGCATGTAGTGGTACATGACTACAGCGACGTGAGGATACAGAGGTATGCGGGTACAGTGGGGATACATAACAAGCATGGTGTTAGGGACGTGTTAGGAGGTCACAAAGGTATGGTAATATGGTGAGGGGAAGGGGCCCTGAAGGTAGCATGACATAGGGACATACGTGTGAGAAGAGGGGGAGGGTAAGGTGGGAAGTCACCAACATAATTGGACAAAGCCTGGGTGTGGCTGCCGGGATGTGGCTGCCGTGCCACCTGTGTGGGTGGGTGGGAGGCTAAATCTTCATCAATCAATCAACAATTACTGACCTGTTCCCCCGCGGGGTCCAGGTGACCTCCGGGAAGCACCTGACGCTTCTCTATGGACAGGTCGTCGTCCTGAACCTTGACCTTGGTCCTGGGCACGTGGTTGGTCACCACTGGCTTCCGGAGGTCCTTCTTCAGCGGCTCCACGTACTCCGGCGTCACCACCTGATGCTGCTCTGCCAGCTTCTCTTCCTCGTATTCGCGCAGGTCTTCGGGGAGATCTTGTTCTTCATACTGAGGACGTTCTTCATACCGGGGTTGTTCTTCATACTGGGGACGCCCTTGCTCGAATTTAGGGTGTTCTTCATGCTGAGGTTGTTCGAATGGTCTGAAGCCTTCCTCATACACGGGCAGCTTCTCATACTGCGGTTGGTCTTCATACTGCGGCCGGCGTTCCTCCTGGTGGTACTTGGGAGGTAGAGGCTTGCTGGGTAGGTAGTCACGACTCACGGGGGGTCGTTCTCCCTGGTAGCGATGTATCTGGTCGTCCTGGTGGCGCTGTGGTCGTTCCCTAACCTGGAGTGGCCTCCCTGTCACCACCTCCTCCACATAAATGACGGGTTCCTGTTGAAACTGTGGCTTGAAGACAGGTTCCTCATAGACGGGTTCATCGCCGTACACAACAGGCATCTCTGGTTTGTACTGCGGTCTGAACTGTGGTCTGAACTTTGGTTGATTGCGGAACTTGGGTGGGATGCCGTCGGCGTTCGCCAACTGGTAATCAGGAAGCCTGCCGCGGGGCGCCTGTGGCCGCATGCGGGGCGGAGCGGCCCGAAGGTGTATGGGTCGGCGGGGCAAGGGGCCATCCGCACGCGGGGCGGCGGCGGTCTGTGTCCGGGGGATCTCGACGAAGTCATAATAATCAAACACGGACGGGGAGAGAGACCTGGCCCGGAGTGGGGTGCTGGCCGCCACGCTCACACACACCTGCAACACAGTACATACTTATATCAAAGAAGGCACCAAGCCAGGAAGACCATGTAGCTACTTAAGAGCTTAAACGCTACTTAAGAGCTACGATAGCACATATTACCATCCACACCCACACAATAATTTCCGGTCATACCCACACACAACTACAGCAATACTTGACATATTACCTTCGAATATTTCCAAGATGGCAGTCATTCCAGGTGTACAACATGTCCTCTTACCAAACACACTAAATTTGTTTCACTATCAACCCCAAGATAAAAATTACTGTAGTTTAGGAGAATTAAAATCTGGCCAATGTCGACGCATCCAGGGACAATGAGTATCGGCTCTGGTTGGTTAGGTGGGTTGACTAGATTTACGTTCCTGTTCGGGGGAAACTGAAGCCATTTTTACAGCGGAAATCGGGAGAACGGGCTCCATACATGACGGGGCGACTGCAGGATTCGCGACAATGTGACCAATGTTTACAACAATGTGATGTGAAACCTACAAAAAATAAATTACATTTTTGTAACCAAGATTAATGTTCATTAAGACTGACACTGATATTCCAAAGATGCATGATAGCTATCATGCATCAGCTATTTAGAAGCTTAGCATTAGAAACTGATCTGTTTAATGAGATTATTAATTGGCATTAGATATATGTTAGTAATAAGGCTAAACGAAAGTCATTAAATAGTCGGTTAACTATTTCACAAGTATCCACGTATTGAGAGAGCATGTACAAATATAAGTCAAACTATAATGAATGATCGCCAATGGAGTAATGTTTCTGAGAATGGCACAGCCAGAATAAGGCTGCTGATGGTGTTGTGGTTCCCATATTTTGGTTGTCCAAGAAATTGTACCAGGTAGGGAATCTTGAAAATATTAGCCTTATACATTAACAGTAAGGTTTCTAACATCTCTCCAGTGTTGAAGGCTCTGCTGTAATGACCAGTTCAACCAGACTGGGCCAACACTAGAGAGGAGTTTTTTTCACAGGCTACCTCGTCCAGAATAAATGATGGAGGGTAGGCCGTACAGGAAAGCTGTGCATGCTCAAATCGGCACCGAACTTGTGCTTCATAAATATTGTGCAACCACTGTTCTCGAGAAGACGGGTGCGCCAAAGTGTTGCAAGTTTCTTGACTGTGTTTTTGTCTTTGTACAGCACGTGGCTCTTCGTGGTCATTAAACTCAAACTTCAACCCCAAGATTCATACTTAATTCATTCATGCTCAAGACTCTGTTCTAAGACAAAAGAGACATCGATGCGATAATAAGTAGTAATCCAACTTGCCTCACATTTTGCCGTGATAATAACCCTGGAATACTGGTGTTTATTTTTAATTTAATATCTCCGAATTACTACCTCAACACTGCCATCAATTACACACTCGACTAACTCCATTTATACAACTCTTTCTGACAAATGGTGTGGGTTAGAGTCATTGTGGACTCCCAAGGTGACAACCACACACCTACCACAACCATCTGTCCACCACACCAGCTGGTATAGTGCTTAAAACCACAAGGAAATTAAGCCACTTAACTGAAGTGCGAGATCCCCCTCAGAACTTGGATGCCAGACTTATCAATATCACTGCATATTTGGACTTCTTAATTCTAAAGTTGGTAAGGTCAGTGTCCAGATGCACTTATCCCCCCCCCCCACCTCACACACATTCATCGTCCCACACTTCTCCCTCCACTCACATCCAATCCATCCTCACCCTTCCAAACACACAAACATACAAGCACAAACACACACATACAAACAGTGGGAAATTATATCCCCCTTCACAGCCCATTACCCCCCTCCCCTACACACACACACGACCATCTGTCTGAGGACCTTAGAAAGAAGTTTCACTCTCCCTCAGAGTACACAACAGCCGCGCTACTGCTGCTGCCCGTCTGACGAAACCGGCCAGGGGAAAGTTTTAGCTCCGCCTGCGGGAACTTTGGGCGGCGTCAGGTGGGACACACCGACCACAGCATGGCACCCTTCCTCCCCGCCCCCACCGTGCTCACCAGATACACGCCACACAGGGCCATCGCGCGGGGATACATGCATGCAACACAGGGCAAACTGAGACGAGTCTCTGGACTCCCCAGACACACACACATTACGCACTAAACCATGATGAGCTGAGAAGTTCTACCCAGGCTTGGTGTTTGGAAGGCAGAATCCGGTACCACAATCCAAGTTTTAAGAGATACTCGCCCACACTGAGGTGTAAGTAGTGATGGTCTCCCTCCCCCCGCCCACACCCCGGGTGTCGCAAGTGGTCACTATAATGGCATCGAAGTAAGCAACTATCTTTTTTTTTTGAGATATATAAGAGAGTTGTTACATTCTTGTACAGCCACTAGTACGCGTGGCGTTTCGGGCAGGTCCCTGGAATACGACCCCCTGCCGCGAAGAATCGTTGTCCGAAACGCATTGCGTAATAGTGGCTTTAGGCACTGTATGTACTAGCTCTATCTATATATCAATCCATTAATGTAACATCACTTGTATGTATGTACCTTACCTGAATAAACATATTTATTTATTATTTATTTTATTTGTTACAACGAAGTAAACATTTTACTGTTGCGTTAAACAGAGGCTACAGTTAAGGATTTGCGCCCAGTAAATCCTCCTCGGCCATACGAACCCATGACAAAGCGCTCGCGGAACGCCAGGCGAGTGTCTTACCACTACACCACGGAGACTTATCAAAAGAATACACAGTCGAACTTGGACTGTGGTACCGGATGGCACTTTCTCAGCTGTAAGGAAGTCGGGTACAGTTACTTTGGGTCTCATCATGGTTGAGTGGGTAGTGTGTGTGTTTGTCTGCGGAGACGCCACGGACGCTGGTTCCAACTCCGTGACCACATGTTTACAGCGGCCTTATAAACAATATCTCTCTCATATATCATACTATATAATATAACCAATTTGTATATTTATAAATCAATATTTTGTAGCTATTGTTTTTCCACGTCACTGAGATCTTATATATGCATTTGTGATCATAAATGTCTCATTAATGATCAAATCCACAAGGGCCGTAACGAGGATTCGAACCTGCGTCCGGGAGCATCCCAGACACTGCCTTAATCGACTGAGCTAATGATATCTTATTAATGATATTCTAACTTTGGTGTCACGACTCTCCACTGTGAGTGAGCTCTCCCTCTCCTCCATAATCTCACACGATCACTCCTCCCCAAATTAAATCTGTTAAGAGTTTATGCTACTAAGGTTACGTCTTGCTTGTTTTACGTCAATTTTCGCGTCATTATACCGACACGATTTCCCTATAGTTAGTGTAGGGACCTTTGTGAAGGTATATGGAGACCTCACGTAAATGTGCAAAGTTTCCTAGCATTAGTTTTAATGTTACTTTTGGCCAATGGAGAATAATGCTTCATTTAATAAGGAACACTTTGCAATCATCATCAAGTTAAAACACAGTCATCAATTTATATATTAGATTTTCTAATAAACTACAAAACCGCATGAATAAATGACTTGATAAAAGCTGTTGTTGTTGTTGTTTTAGATTCAGCTACTCGGAACATAAGTTGCAAGTAGCACGGGCTATGGTGAGCCCGTAGTGGACTTACCTGGCACAGGAGCGGGGCAAGTAGCACGGGCTATGGTTAGCCTAGTTGATAAAAGCGTTATAAACATGTAGAGTACCTCCTAATACACGCGACAGTGTGGAGAAGCCGAGCACACACACACACAACCTACCAGTAAGAGGAGCTTCATGTTGCCGCCACAACAGCTGCAGAGATAATGTTGATAACACGCCCGCGACCCCCTTATATAACCTGGGCCCAGCCAGGCCCCGCCCATCCGCCATGTCCACTCGGCGCCTCATAATAACATTTTTATTTTGTGATTACACAATTACTTTCTACCGATTAAAAAATGAGATCATTTAACTGACATATATTTGTCTTCGGATATTAGATAATTAGGAATGAAGAGATAATTTAATAAATGTGGGCTAGACAGACGTGGGAGCTGGGGGCATGACACGTGGGAGCTGGAGGAATGACACGTGGGCGCTGAGGGAATGACACGTGGGAGCTGGGGGAATGACACGTGGGAGCTGGGGGAATGACACGTGGGAGCTGGGAGAATGACACGTGGGAGCTGGGGGAATGACACGTGGGAGCTGGGGGAATGACACGTGAGACCTAGAGGAATGACAGACGTGGGAGCTGTCTTGCCCACATCTCCCACGTCTGCTACCATGGGAGAAATTCTGGAGTTTGACATTAATTTTGTGACTAAGATTTGTCTGGCGGAGAAGCGGACTCTGGCGCGCGCGGGAAACAGCTGACAACATTTATCATAATATTTCCGACAACGGTAAGAATAGTTATTAATATTATTATTATTATTATGACAACCCATCCTCCTGTTTAAATACTGTTATTTGAAACTATGTACACCATCGTACATATATCGACGTAATGGAGAATTAGATTGTAGAATTTGATACTATTCACTTTTTAGCGTCTACAATAAAATCAAAACCAAACTTAAATATTCCTAGGCCTAGTATAGTATAGTATATATATATATATATATATATATATATATATATATCTTGGTTCACATCGTTACTCTAAGTACTATTTAAACAGGAGGACGGACTGTATTATTAATGATAATAATAGTACATATAAATATTATTACTTTAATCTTATAAATGTTATACATAACTATTACTTACTAAGAATTGAGTTTCTAAAATATTTGTTTACTATTAATTTATAAATGTATTCATTTTTAACATAAATTGAAACCGGACAAAAAAACGTAGTTAAAAAGAGATCTAAACCCAATGGCGCCGGCGGGGGCCTAAAATATATTTATAATAAGTGGTGTGACTGGCACTTGAAGAAGGTGTACTCCCCACGCAGCCGGCCATCACCTTCCCTATACTTTGTCACTTATTTATGTCAGCAGCCAATTCATTTTTTGCTCTCATACCTCGGGGACTTATTGCCAACGTCCACGCTGTCTGTCTGTCTGTCTGTCTGTCTCTCTCTCTCTCTCTCTCTCTCTCTCTCTCTCTCTCTCTCTCTCTCTCTCTCTCTCTCTCTCTCTCTCTCTCTCTCTCTCTCTCTCTCTCTCTCTCTCTCTCTCTCTCTCTCTCTCTCTCTCTCTCTCTCTCTCGTCTTCTACAGAGCCATGGGCGCGATGTGTGAAAACCATCTTGGTTTTCTCTCTCCAGAATGGCTGAAGAGAAACTGCTGAGTGGTTGGTTGCTTAGATTGATTGTGAGTGTTTGTGTGTGACGTCACTGGATGCTGAAGGACTGTTGATGTTGTTTTCTGGATGTTCACCCCCCCCCTCCCCTCACTATGTATGTATGTATGTATGTATGTATGTATGTATGTATGTATGTATGTATGTATGTATGTATGTATGTATGTATGTATGTATGTATGTATGTATGATAAAAGAAAACTGTGCTTTTAGTACATTTTAAAATTACATCTTAAAAACACACCCACCTTCCTTATGCCCACACGCACTCACGCACATTGTACTCGCACTCATCTTGCGCACGCCCGCACCTCTTGCACGCAGTCATCTTGCGCACGCACGCACCTCGCGCCCAAACTCACCTGATCGCGTTTGCACGCCCTTCGCGTCCGCAAGCATTTTGTGCACGCACTCTCTAAACTTGACTTTCACACTCTACCACCTGTTGTGAGAGACGTAAATTTAATGTGCGTTTAGAGAGAGAGAGAGAGAGAGAGAGAGAGAGAGAGAGAGAGAGAGAGAGAGAGAGAGAGAGAGAGAGAGAGAGAGAGAGTGTGAGTCAATCAGACAGTCAGACAGACTGATAAACAGACAGCAAGATCGTGTCTGTCTACACTTTAGATACAAAGGCAAAGACAGGAAACCACAGAAAAAAATCTGGAAAATCCTGTCAATAAATAAACGAAAAGATCCAAAGAATAAAACAGACTCTTGAAAAGCCTAATACACAGAATACTTCCATAATATATTTGTTCTCAAGAATGAGCTAACTCTTCATAATAGGCTCCGAGTCATAATACATCTAGTGTTAATAGTAAAGAGTGAATAAAATAACTCCAGAATTAGAATTAACATAGTAATCGGAACATATTCAAAGGCAAGAACAAATTCCGTGACAAGAAGAGGTATCTGGTGTAATAATTCTAAATTATATTCACTACCAAACACTCACGTTTTCTATGCGTGGGTATGAAAGTTATGAGGCCTAAAATATACTTCCATCTGTGACCGCTATGTTGGCACCGTGAATCTCACTGTTGTACGAGAGAATCTCAGTGAAAACTGTCAATGTGCTGCTTAGAATTAGTATTGGAAGGAAAGTTGTGATAGTTTGGTGGGCAATTACTGGGAGGTCCGTTATCATGGTCGCCATCATGCTCGGTGGTCGCAAGAATCGTACACTTCACCAGTATTGTCGCACACTCTTCATGGGATTCATTTGACGTGGGGGAATTGTGTGCGAGCTTCAGGCATAGTGAAGCGTGAACACAGGTTATTTGAGGCCAATTTTACACACACACACACACACACACACACACACACACACACACACACACACACACACACACACACACACACACACACACACACACACACACACACACACACACATACACACACACAGGGGGGGGGGTTGGCAGCTGAGTGGACAGCGCGCGGTACTCGTAATCCTGTAGGCCCGGGTTCGATTCCCGGCGCCGGCAGAGGCAAATGGGCAATTTCATCCTGATGCCCCTGTTACCTAGCAGTAAATTGGTACCTGTGAGTTAGACAGCTGTTACGGGCTACTTCCTAGGTGTGTGTGTGTGTGGAAAAAAAAAATTAGTTAGTAGTTAGTAACAGTTGATTGATTGACAGTTGAGAGGTGGGCCGTAAGAGCAGAACTCAAGCCCCACAAGCACAACTAGGTGAATACACACACACATATACACACACACACACACACGACGTTTGTGAGACCAAAACTGGAATATGTAGCAGTTGCATAGTGGCCATATCTCAAGAATATCAATAAATTGGAAAAGATGCAAAGCCATGCTACGAAATAGCTTCCGGAAATGAAATGCAAAAGCTATAATAAAAGGCTACAGGCGCTTAATATACCAAAACTAGAAGATATAAAATAAAGAGGAAATATGATACCTAAGTAACAAAATAATAACAAAGACAAAACTGACAAAGACGAATTCTTGAAATATGTAACTCCAAGAACAAGAGGTCTTATGTTCAAGCTAAGGCGACAAAGGTGCCGAGAAAATGTTAGACAATTTTCTTTTGAAGATGATAAGATGGTTGGAACAAGGTAAGTGAGGTGGCGGAGGCCAACACGGTCAGGAGTTTCAAAGCGTTATATGACAGAATGCTGGGAAGACGGATATAGCTCTCAGTCTGTAACTGCACTTAGGTTATTACACCTAGATAATTATACACACACACACAGGAAATTATGCCTACCGGACCTACTAAAGTTCTATGACAAAGCAACGAAATTAAGGCAGGAAAGAGAAGGTTGGATTATTGAAATACAGATTGTCTCTTTCTGGACTGACAAAAAGTCTTTTATTTATTTATATAAGAGTTCTTACAGTCTTGTAAAGCATAGCGTTTCTGGCAGGTCCTTAATCCTAATTTTCCCCGGAATACGACCCGCCAAGTCAGAAACAGGGACCCATTCACTGCTGGGTGAACAGAGGCTACAGTTAAGGATTGGCGCCCGGTCAATCCTCCTCGTCCAGGATACGAACCCAAGCCAAAGCGCTCGCTAAACGCCAGGGAAGTGTCTTACCACTGCGCCACGGTGACTCAGTACCACATTAGAATATACTAAACAAACTTGAGAGGCCGGCGGGAGAAAATGGAAGACCACTGAATTGGAAGTTACAACTCTCCACAGCTAAAAAACAAAGATAGCAAGGGACGAGTCATTGCATTAGACGACAGAGATAAAAACGAGGCCCAAACGCTGGAGCCTGGTCCCGCAAACTGTGTTATATAAGCACTATCATGTTAGTCCACGGCCACTTTCTCAGGGGCCGCGGGCTGGTCCTACTCCCTGGCGGGTCACCTGCTGAAATGAAAAGTTTTGCAGACTTACGCAACACCGCGATGGAGTTGTTCACTTTTATTCAAGAGAATGTGCCGTAAAAGTCATTGTAATGGTTAAACATATTAACCTAATCTTTGAATTAGGTTAGGATGCTTTTTCGGGTAGGTGATGGATTCTAAATATTAATTTAAATCTATGCTATGTGTTAAATTATTAAAATTAACAATGTAGCTTTAACTATGAATATGAGATATCAAACTGCATTAATTCACACAAAACAGTACACTAATGCTAACTTTACCTTACCCAAAGCAGAAATATTTAATTTAGGTGTATGTTAGGAGCTCAGGTCAAACGCAAAATGCTTAGCTAAGAGAATATTGTAATTAATTTCCAGGACTTATTATGTGACTGTAACCTTTCCTCCAACCGCACACTGGCGGGGCAGAGCATCCATAATAAACTAATTCAACTCAAAACGACCAGCCAGGAGGACGATGGCGGCCATGTTCGTCCTCACCTCACCAGCCGTAAACAATGACTCACACGCTCTCACTGATTTCCTTCACTTTCTATGGGAGAATTGTAGGAAAAATATTTACGAGTCATTCAAGCACATGTGAGATATCATAGTTTGTTTCTATTTAGCAGCAAGTTTTTATATTTATTTTTTAGATTTTG